AGGGGGGAGAGAGAGAGAGAGAGAGAAAGCATAGTTTTCTGTAGAGTGGAAGTAGGCAAAGAAGACAAGTGAGTTCCATGTTCAGGAGAGAATATGGGCTTGAAGAGCTAGCACTTTGTTCTTTAAAGTTTCATTTTCTGGGATACATCCAGTGGTACTTAGAGGCTGATCCCAGTTCTAGGGTCACTCCTTGGCAGTGCTCAGGGACTGGGTGTCACATCTGGGCCTTCAGCATACAAGTCTGGGTCCTCCAACCTGTGAGTTGATTTTCCAACCTGCAGTTGAACCCTCCCCCTTTCCTGGTGAGGGACTGGGTCTGGGTTTGCTCTGGAAGGATATGTGGGGTTGGGGATCAAACCAAGGTGGGTAGCATGCAAGGTAGCAAGGTAGGTGCCGTAATCTCTATACTCTCTCTTCTACCCCCCCCCCCCCCCCCCCGGAGTTCATCATTTCAAACTGTGAAATCCTGCAAGGCAGAGAAATAAAGTATGAATTTTCTTTGGGAGAAAGGAGAGTTGGAGACCAATCAGGTCTGTACAAAATGTATAGATAACATTTGGGGAGAATGAGAAAGCAGGTTCTTTCACTCACCGTTGCTGGGGTTGTAAATTATAGGAAATGATTCAGAGGAAGTTTCAAAGGTCAGTACCAGAATATTTTATGTAAATATTTGTTCTATTTTATTTATAGGAATTTCTCATGGAGAAACTTAAAACTTTGTAAAGATTTGTCAGCCCGGAGATTGTTCTAGAACATCACTGGTGATAGGGAAAATTTGGACCCCATAGCAGTGAATACGAGTATACATAAACAATTTCTTTTCTTTTTTTAATTTAATTTTTATTAGTGACAAACCATGAGGTACAGTTGTAGATTTACAAATTTTTGTGCTTGGGTTTCAATTATACAGTGATTAAGTACTCATCCCTCCTCCAGTGCCCATTTTCCACCACCATGGGTCCCAGTATCCCTCCCACCCCTCATCCCCCCGATCCTACCCTGCCTCTGTGGCAGGATAGTCCCTTTTGTTCTCTCTCTCTCCTTTTGGGTGCTGTGGTTTGCAAAAGAGGCATTGAGTGGCAGTCATGTTCGGTCTAGATTCTACTTTCAGCCTGCTTCTCCCATCCTGGGAGGATCCTCCCAACACCCTCTATTTGGTTCTCCCTTCTCTATCTGAGCTGCCTTTTTCCTTAGCATGTGTGGCTGGCCTCCAAGCCATGGAGTAAACCTCCTGGTACTTATCTCGGCTATTCTTGGGTGTTAGTCTCCTATTTTGTTACTTTATGTTCCCCAGATGAATGCAATCTTTCTATGTCTATCCTTCCCTTTCTGACTCATTTCACTTAGCATGATACTTTCCATGTAGGACCACTTGTATGTAAATTTCATGACTTCGTCTTTTCTAACAGCTACATAGTACTCCATTGTGTAGATGTACCAAAGTTTCTTTACCAGTCATCTGTTCTCGGGCACTCAGGTTTTTTTTTCCAGATTCTGGCTATTGTAAAGAGTGCTGTAATGAACAAACAAGTGCAGAGTACATAAACAATTTCAACAAAACTTTGTGTATTTACTGAAGATACAAGTCTTTATGTTTTTACATAGAAAAAAGGTAGAGTTTTGCATTATTAGGGATAATCTGAAATTGAGAGACATTACAAAAAATAGAATTCTTTTTCTCCCATTTTTGAGCATATCATCCCTATTATTAGCTGTGGCTTGAATATGGTGACTACTAATCTTTTCACCTCTTGAAACCCAAAATGAGAAAAAACAGAATTGTGGGCACAGTGTTTCTCTGTGCCTTTGTGTGTGGGATGGAGACTGCAGAGACAGCGTGGATGAGTGTACAGATGAGCAGTTGAAATGCTGACCCGTCGCATTCCGTGGTATCGTCTGCTGATCAGCTTTGTGAGCACCCCCCGGCTTTTTATTTCCTTCACAAAGGATAACATTACTCATGACGGATTGGACACAGTAGGGATTGTTATCTTTTGTTGTTTATTCTTGCCTCTCTTGACTATATATTTAGGGTTGGCGTTAGTCAGGGTGGTTGCTAATGAATTGCAGAAGGATTGGTCAGTTCAGTAGAAAGCTGGGCAAGATTGTCATCCCAATCTGCATTAGTGCAAAGTGACATTTTCACAACAGATCTAAAAGGAGACCTTTTATAGCCTTGGGAAGCCAGACTCTCCTCTGTGTCAGTGTTTTGTTTTCATGATTGGTCTGGTGAGTTGGTCATCTTCTCACCGAGCAAGAATTACCACATGGCCTCAGCGAGGTAGAAGGAAATAACACATTAGCTTCTCATTTTTACAAATTAATACATCCAGGAATACAAAGTCAGCAGCAGAGTAATATACGATAGATTTCTCAATATTCTGAAAGATGCTTTGTTGTAAATTACAAGTATGTAGTAAAAATCTAGATGATTAATGGGTAAATCCAGGGGTTGTCTGCATCCTACATGGATTTGGGGGTTTCTTGTCCTATTTCGTGGTGTTTGCAGCAGCAGAACTGTCTGCAGTGGTGTTCTGTGCCTGCACTACCCAGTAAGGCAGCCTCTGTCCCTGTATCTGTTGAAATGTGTCTAATACAACTGTAGAACTTTAGGGTTTTTTTTTTTGAGGTACTGGGATTTATATTACTGTTGATTATACTTTGCATCATTCCAATATCACACCCATCACCAGGGCAAGGAACTTAATTCTTTATTTCATTTCAGTATAGTAACACAAGTATGTAATTCCATCATGTGAGTATGGCCTGATTAGCCTTTTATATATTGTGTATTTTCAGTGACTCAGCTGTTCAATGGTAGGGTCATAAGTAGACCATTTTCTCTCTTCCGTTTAGAAGTACATCTCTCTGGTTATATTTAAAACTGGAGGTTATAGAAATAGGTTTTTGGACAGAACTTATGTTTGGATTATTTTAAGGAAAAGATTTTTTGAGCTGTTTTGGGTTCTAATTGTTTTCACTTAGGTTAGGAATTTAAGGGAAGACAGAAAGTCTGTTTGACTCTAGTTGTTTCTCAACCTTTTTCTGACTGTGGTCCCCTCCCGCCTTTGTTTCCTTCCTCTAGTTCCCTGTGCTTCTGGTTGGCTTCTTAGTCTTATGCCATGTCCACCCCCTCCCCCGACACCCCCACCCATTTATGCGATTTTTTTTCCTGTGGCCCCCTTAGACTATCCTGAGGAACCTTACGCTGTATGGGCCTAGATGAGTGCTAATCATGTTATTTAGCCTGTGGTGTTACTGTTACTTCATGAAAACACATATTAGTAAGCCCCAATTCAAACTGGTTTCATGATACTGGTTATGTAATTAACCTGAATTCTTTTTAAGCAACAAACCACATTTCAGGTACTCAGGTGGTTGATGGCCACTGTTACCCTCCTCAACTGAACAAAATTCTTGTAAATCTTTTTTGGCTCAAAGAAGGAATCTTATGGGTTACAAATTCCAAACAAAAGGATAAGGAAAACAGACTTTATCAAATATTTCAGGGATTAGGTAAAGCAATATTTAGGGAGGAATATAACTTTAACATTTTTATTTTCAAAGAAGATATATCTAAAATTGTGATCTAAGTCTCCACCTTCACTGTCACTGTCACTGTCCTCCCGTTGTTCATCAACTTGCTCGAGCGGGCCCAGTAACGTCTCCACTGGAGACTTTGTTGTTACTGTGTTTGGCATATCGAATACGTCACGGGTGGCTTGCCAGGCTCTGCCATGCAGGCAAGATACCCTTGGTGGCTTGCCAGGCTCTCCCGAGAGGGGCAGAGGAATTGAACTTGGGTCGGCCATGTTGGCTGCGTGCAAGGCAAATGCCCTGCCGCTGTGCTATCACTCCAGCCCAAGTCTCCACCTTAAACTGTTAAAAAAGAAAAGAGAAAAAGCAGACTTCACTCCAAATAAAGTAGCAGGAACAAAACTAGATAAGCATAGGGTGAAAGACTGACAGAGAAAATGAACTGTGTGGTTGATCTTTCTTTTGAGAACTAGTTTGCTAGTTGATAATGATTAGTAATAAAACCAGTGAGAAAAATGTAATTCAAAAATATAAGATTGCTTAACAGTAGAGCACTTACCTTGTGTCTGTGGAGCCCTAGGTTTAGTACACACAGCCACACAACCATACACTATGAAGCCTAATTTATAGGTAAGATCGGTGGTAAGTTTAACAAAAAATTTTTAGAATGGAAGCCTCCATTTCCTTGAATTCAAATTTTCTTTAATGAACTGATGTGCATGCTTTGGAAAATAATTGAACTGGGGCAGGGGAAGCAGTTTGGTGATGGGGAAGGAAGCCTGTCACTGTCCTCCCGTTGTTCATCGATTTGCTTGAGTGGGCCCAGTAACGTCTCCATTGTGACAATTGTTACTGTGTTTGGCATATCGAATACCTTGCAGGGAGCTTGCCAGGCTCTGCCATGCGGGCGAGATACTCTCGGTAGCTTGCCGGGCTCTCCGAGAGGGGTGGAGGAATCGAACTCGGGTCGGCCATGTTGGCCCCTTGCAAGACAAACTCCCTACCCGCTGTGCTATCGCTCCAGCCCAGGGAAGGAAGCCTATGGGTACATTTTCTGAAAGAATTTTGCCCCTGAAAATTTGAAGTTGGTTTCAAGACAGAGGTTCCCACATTTATTTTGCTTGGTGCATCCTTTTCACACATTAGTGAGCACCGTGCTGGAAATCTACTTTTTTTGGTCTTGTTTAAGTGAACAAACAGAAAGCACCCCCCACAATTGCAGCAAAGGCTACCAGCACCACCACCCCCTAGCAGTGGTTGGAGGGGGTGTTATCTCCCACTTTGGGAAACACTTAACCAAATGTCCAGCAGCTGTGTACATGCCTTTGCAAGGAGGTGTGGTGTTTACTAACTTTCAGAACCATGACATTTTCAGAGGAAATGATTAGCTCAGGAAATTCACAAAATTTCTTTGAACTGAGTAAAAATGAACATTTACATATAAGCCTTTTTTTTTTAAACAGGTTTATAGACAAGAAGGAAAGGCTAAGTCAACTTAAGAGCAAACAAGAAGAATTTCAGAAAGAGTGAGTTTTCATTTTGCTTATTTGTAAAAGTTATCTAGTCGACACAGGGTTGGATTTTATGCCGTTTTGTGCAGATGTATCGACTGCTAATCTACCGTTAGGATCCAGCCTCAGAGTGTGGAAGATCATTGGTTCTCGGCAAAGCAGAATAGCAGAGTCAGCAAGTCACAAGAAAACGCCAGGATCCAAGACAGTATGCACTCCTCTATCAGATGGATGCAACTCCATCCCTGACTTGGATTATTAACAGGAGGGCCAGGAAAGTGGTCTTGCTCAGTTTGAATGAATTGGCTCTACTGGCCATGACCATGTTGTTTATCTTTGTTTTCTGAATTTGTTTCTCAAGTGTGGTTTGCACATCATTTGCATTCAAATGGTTAAAAATACAGGTTCTTGAAATCCTGCCCTTAGGTATTCTGATTCATGAAGTTTGGGGGAGACCCCGAAGTCTAGGCCCTGATGGTCGCTGGCCCTCTAGATTTAAGAATTGTCTAATAGGACCTTTTGTCCCAAGTTTACCCAGTGCCTGTTTCCCTGACACACCCCAATTCTGATAAACACGTGCATGAACAGACTTATCTTGGGAGAAAACCTGCATTAGAAAAACCTGCTCGGATTTGTTTAACTCCGTCATTTCTCAAACTTAATCACAGAAATTTAATTTTTTTTTTCCCTCATTCAAGTACTTCATCCTATATACTGCTTTCACTGATCTTTGGAAATTGACCAGAGAATCTTATATCATGAACTCCCTTGTAGTGGTAACTGTTAACTATAACTATTGGAAATTATCGAATAGGACACAAAGACTGTTGGAGCAGTTTATTGTGAACATTTATATAAAAGCTCAGCATTATTAGATGCACCAAAGGAAGGAGGTGAGATAATTGGCAGAGAACACAGTATTTAGAATACCCTTTTGAAAGCACATTTTCACTTCAGCGTTTCTAGCCATTTCTAAGAACTTTGTTTTAAAAGTTGTTGGTTTTACATTTGTGAGTTTCACACATTTTTATTAGTTCAGAACTTACTGGGTTTTTTTTGGTATCTTTTTCTCTATACAGAGTGTTAAAAGCTATGGAAGGGAAGTGGATAACAGATCAGTTGGTAAGCTAAAAGTAATTACATCTTGTTTTGTCTTGTTTTATGTTTATACTTTATACAAACACTTGTGGTTTACATAGTTGTTCATGATGACTTGTTACAGGTATTCAGTATTCCAACACCAATCCTACAACCATTACCCCTTCCCTCTTCTCTTGTTGCCAATTTTCCCAGCAACCCCTTAAGCCTGCCCTCATAGCAGGCCCTAAGTAATTTATTTTATATTGCTTGTTATCAATAATTTTCTAACTGAATGATTTAAAAAATGTTTCTTAGAAGAAAGTTAATGAAGATGGTTGTATCTCACCATGGAGCCATTAAGTTCTTGTATAAGAGATTACTAAAATATCATTATAGGTTAAGCCTTCTGTGTTTATATTTTGTTAATCGAGATTGGTTGTCTTCTACATTACATCCCATCCAATCTGGTGTGCTATTCCTGGTTTGTCAGTGTTGTAGAGTTTGAGTTGTCATTCCAGGAAGACCAAAATTTTTAACGGGGTGACACAGCTGGAGTTGAATTTTTAACTGGGTGGCAGCCTTGGGTCGTGAGCATGACTCCCATTATGTTTTTTAAGTCAGTAGCCCTTTAAAAATCACTTTGAGTTTAAATTTATTTGTAATCATTTTTGGTAGTCCTCCACTTGACTGTGTGCAGTCTTCTCATGTTTCATCTGAATATCAAAAACCAGGCATTGGCAATTTATTTGATCAGTCACAAAGGAGACTCCCTGGCTCTAGCCTATGTTTCTGAATGGAGTCCTGTGGACACAGCCATCAGGGTCCATGGTCCACATCCAGATCCATGTGGGCTCCAGCACAGCCACAGCCAGGGAAGGGTAAGGGAGCCAGAAAAAAAAGAAATGCAAGGATTTGGGGCCAGCTCACTTTTAGGGAAATGTGCACATAGTAAACTTACCAGGTGTGCACACATACTGCAAATGGATGAGCTGATTGCATGGGAAAGTGTTAAAAGAACTTAGGCATGAATCTCTCTGTCACTTGAGACAGAAAAGACCCCTTACAAGTTGGAGAGAGACATTCTGACAGACTCTAACTGTGAAAAGACAAGGTACTCTGAGCAAATAAACATAAAGAGGGAAATGTATACAGTGTGTGAAAACAAGGAATTTGATGATATGTTGTGGGGTGGGGGTGGGGGGATGCAAGGGAGAGTATATTGAGACATGTTTTCTGGTGACAATTTGGGTTTTTGCTGTTTGGAAGGGCAGGGGGACCTGATTTCTGCCTCCCCCTACCCCATCTGCAAATGTCCCCATTCAAGGATTTTGCCAGCAACAGAGTTGTTGAATTTCTGAATGTAAGCCACATAGCACATATTAGCTGACCAACAGTAAGTTATGGTCTTATTTTAATTGTGTAGGGTCCAGTTTTCCTGGGCTCTGCCTTATTTGGGTGTTCATATGTATTTTATTAAAGAATATTTGTGATATAAATGAATTTTGCTTGTGCTCTCTATAATAACAAAATATGTTGTACGGGAAAAAGACCAAACATGACTACAAAGAAAAAAATCAGAGATGACCCATCTCCTTCGTTTCCCCTCACCTCTGTCTTGGGGCCATATTTGGAGATGAGGGGTCACTCCTGACTCTGTACTCTGGAATCACTTTCTGGCAGTGCTTGGGGTGCCATATGGGGTGCCAGGGATCGAGCCCAGATCTGCACCTGAGCACCTTACCTACTGTACTATCTCTCTGGCCCACTTTTGTTTGCTTGTTTTGTGTGTGTGTTGTTTTTGGACCACACCTGGAGGTGCTCAGGGATTACTCCCAGCTCTGTGCTCAGGGATAACTCTTGGCAGTGCTCAGGAAACCATAGGGGTGCTGGGATTGAACCTAGTTTGGTTGTGTACAAGGCAAATGCCTATATCCTATACTGTCCCTCTGGCCCCCATTCCCATTTTTCTAAATTCACTGTACTATTTCCTAGATTTGCAATAAAAAAAAATCAGTACTGAGTTTTAAAGACTTTCAAAAAGTCCTTTTTTTGGAGGTAGGGGTGGGGTGGGCACACCCAGCTATTCTCAGGCTTACTCCTGACTTTGTGCTCGGGGATCACTCCTGGTGATGCTCTGGCAACCATGTGGAGTGCCAAGGTCTAGCACGTGCATGGTAAGCTCCTTACCTCACACTGTACTGTCTCTCAGTCCCTTAAAGTTCCCTCAAAAGTGAAGACCTCAGGAAGCCCAGGACATAGTATCATCTTTGGTTTGATTCCTGGCACTGCTTATGATTCCCCAAGCACCACCAGGAGTGACCACTGAGCACAAAAGTCTAGAGTTAACCCCGAGCATCGTCAGGTGTGACCCACTCTCCCCACAAAAAAAGAAAAGAAAAAGAAAAGAGAGAAAGAGAGAGAGAAAGAAAGAGAGAGAGAGAGAGAGAGAGAATAGAAAGATGTTCTCCCACTGCCAGTTCAGTTTTAAATCCATCCATCTCCATGAATCTGTTTTCAAATATCTCTGGCTTCCTCAGAGAGGTTGGAGTTTTGCCCACTGGAACATCCCTATAATCTGCCCTGTATCTCGTACCATCAGACTCCTCAGACAGGTGTGAAACACTATAAACATCTGAACATTGTTTTAAGCTTTTAATTATCCACATTTATGGAGGCGTTATAGAATAGATAATAGCACTTTAAACCTAACTACTAGGTCGAATTTTTAACTTATCCCCTTTTCACTTTGGAGGAAGTTATCAGTGTACAGAGATAATTTTTTGTGTCATAATTTTTCTGTCTTTTGGGAAATTTTTATATACGTTTTGTGCCTTTTTTTTAATCATCTTACAAGAAATTTTGTTGTGTCAGGGAAATGATACAGTGATATAGTACCAAATGCAGAATTCAGAGCAGACTTGCACAAAATGAGCCATATGACCTCAGGGGCAGGAGGCCTCTTAGATAGTAGGGGGAAAGGGGTGCTTACTGTTGATCACTTAAATGAGCTAGATTTCTGGAGCTGGAGAGAGAGCTCCTTGGACTGAGCACGTAATTTGCATTCAAGAGATGCAAATTGAGTTCCGCTATCACGTGTCCTCCGAACATAGAGCTGCTGCTAGCCCCTAAGGGATGCCAAGTTTGACCCCAAAACCAAAAAATAATATGAAGTAGATTTTGAGAAGAGAACTGAGAGATATTTTTTTTGAAAGGAGGGAATCTTTGGTTTAGAACATCAGAAGAATTTCTATGATAACGCAAATTTAGTCACACACGATATTTTATATGTGAGATGTATTACAGATAAGTGACTAAATCTTTAAATGTCACGTCATTTTAAGTGACTTTTTGTTTTGGCTTTATTTTTTGGTTTTTGGGACACACCCACTGATGCTCAGGTGTTCTTCCTGGCTCTGTGCTCGGGAGTTACTCCTGATGGTGCTTGGGGAACCATATGGGATGCCTGGGATCAAAACCGGTTGGCCATATGCAAGGCAAGCATCCTACTCACCAGACTCTCTCTCTAGCCCCAGTTTTGATTTTTAAATAACCAAATGTGATTGGTAGCTATCAATTTGGCAGAGAATGTTGAGAATATCTTTCACCCTGTACTGTGTCTGTGACCCCTTTCAGCATTTCTTTCTGCGCTCACTGACACATACAAAAGAACTGTGCGAATTTCTTTCTCTCATAACCTTTCCTAGCTGCTTCTGCAGTCAACCAGGATAACTTTTCTCTTTTGTAATCCACCATGGTTGAAAGTTCTAATAAATACATTGGTCTTACATATGTTTCCTCGATAGACTGAACTTAGCAGTGACTCCAAGTAGATGATAACATTAATTATAAGTTTATTGCTTTTTTTAAGAGATGGAAAATAATGTCCTGCAAGATGAGGATTGAACAACTGAAGCAAACAATATGTAAAGGAAATGAAGAAATGAAGAAAAGTAAGTTGTTTCCCCTTCCAACTCTAGCAGTGGCTCATGTGGGATTTTGTGAGGTTAATCAACTGGAAAGACAGAGAAAGAGAGAAGAGGATGTGGGACAGGGGCAGGATTTGGGGAAACAACAACCTGAAAAAATATAGAAACATACACACAAAACCTTTGAATTATCTGCTCCTTTCTCAGACCCGAGAGCTAGTACAGGGGTTAAGGCACAGGAAAGCATGTGCACGACCCTGTCTGATCCCCAGCACCACAGGGTCCCTTGAGCATCCCTTGGAGGCCCCTGAGCGTTGCAGAGTGCAGCCTTATGGATCCCCAACCCGCTGGGGTGGCCTGAATAATCCTTCAGACCTTTGCATTGATCAAGAATTGCTGGGAGTGGGCCTTGGGCTACTGAGCACCTCCTGAGAGATCCAAAAGAAGTTAAGGAAAGTTCCCAGCTACTGTAGCTATCAGGAAGATCATATTAATTATTAGTAATATTTTGCATTGGGCCAGAGCGATAGCATATCGGGTAGGGCATCTGCCTTGCATGCGGTCGACCAGAGTTCGATTTCTCCGCCCCTCTCAGAGAGCCCGGCAAGCTACCTGTGACACGTATTAGATATGCCAAAAACCATAACAAGTCTCACAATGGAGATGTTACTGGTGGCCGCTCGAGCAAATTGATGAACAACAGGGAGACAGTGCTACAGTGCAGTGCTATTATGCATTAGTTCACGAAGAGCCAGAGAATATTTCTTATATCTCCTACAGTAAATCTAATTTTTAATTTTTTCATATATATTTTAATCTGTAGTAATTGTACATTATATTTGTATGGTTCCTGCTCTCTTGTAGTTGTCAGATTTTTTTAGGGTCCGTTTCGAAACCCCGTAGCCACGGACTTACTTCATTCATTTTCGAAGGTCAGAGCGAGTCAGCACTGCACCTTGTGCATCTCTGACTTGTCTGCTCATCACTTTCAGAAACAAGTGTTTTATAGTATCTGTCATGTCCTGCTCGCTCTCCTTGAAACTGTCCTAATGTAGCGTCCTCATCTCATGTCTCACCACTCAGAAGCTAGAGAAGGCAATTAGCAAGGGAAGAAGGCACTCAGCACTCAGTACTCCAGTCATCTGATTACTCCTTGTTCTGCATGCCTTCTACAAAGGCCCAGTTTCTCCAGCAGAGTAAGGACCATCCTCCTCCTGTTCCAGCCATGATGTTCACGTCACACGTCTTGAACCTACTGTCTCTGCTGAGTGTACTGGGCTTTTATAGTTCTCTGATGAGCAAGTTTTAAATTTTGGGTTGGAGATGAGTCACTTGCCTTGCATGCTGCTGACCCTAGTTCCATCCCTGCCACAACATGTGGTCTCCCAGCACCACTGGGTGTGGTCCAAACCCCTTCCCAGTTTCTTTGGTCACTTTCTCTTTTTCTTCTTTTGATCTTTTGGTCTATAGTCAGTGGTGTTCAGGGGTTACTCCTGGCTCTGTGCTCAGGAATTACCCCTGGCAAGCTCTGGGGACCATAATATGGGGTTTCTGGGATTGAACCCAGGTCAGCAGCACATAAGGCAAGTTTCCTATCCATTGTCTTATCTCTCTGGCACCCTTTGATCACTTTCTTTAACATTTAAACTGCCCCACTCCCCAAGTTGAAAGTGACAACCGCAGAAATAAGATCAAAAGTACTAGGCACCATAACAGTGGTTTCCATCTCTAGTGAATCATCGGTTATCTGGGGACCTTTGTAAAACCCAGAGAAAGACTCCTCAGACTCTCCTGAACTTTGGAAAATAAAATCCCATACATGGGAGCTCCATAAATGGTTTTGTCTTCCCCCTCTTTTATTCCCCATCTGTATTACTATTTTCTGCCATACCCAGTGGTGCTCAGAACTTACTCCTGACTGTGCTCAGGAATCACTCCTGGTGGGGCACAGGGGTGTCAGGGATCAAACTAGTACATGGCAGATGCTCTGTTCACTGTACTTTATGCCCCTCTTGTTCGTCTTAAGCCAAATGAATACTTCTATAAAATAAAATCTGTAATGAGAAAAAGCTGCACGCTGAGACCTTGTAGCTGTTACCCTGCGTTGTCAAGGAGCAGAAGACTCCAGAATCACTGTTGCCCAGGTAGTGAAAGGGTGCCAGTGGGCCCAGATCCCCTTGCTGTATTTTGGGTAGGGAGAACAGAAAGAGATCAGCTTTTTTGGGGCTCCAGTGACCTGCGACTGCTGGAACTTCTGCTCTTTAAAACATGGAGACACTTCAGTTGTTCCTCTCTAAAACCAGATTCAGTATCTTGCAGACCATTTTAAAGAAGCTAATGATTCCAGAAGCCAGTCAGCATGGATTAAGAGCTTGGAACCCAATAAATAGCCTATTTCTTTCTGTTTGTTTGTTTTGGGGCCACATCCAGTGGTGTTCAGGGCTGTCTCCTGGCTCTGCACTCAGGAATCAGTCTTGGTGGCAGGGCGTGGGAGGCTGGCCAAATGGCATTTAGCCATCAAACCCCTCGCCTGGCCATGTGCAAGGCAAGTAAGTGCCTTAACCTGCTGTACTATGGCTCCAGCCCCTTAGCCTCTGTTTTTTGTTTTTAAAGTAACCTTATTGTTTACCCTTCATGTACATTGAGAAAGGGCATACATGGTTTGCTGTAGAAACTGGTTAATATTGTTGCATAGTCTTTTGATGTCGGGTGTCATGATGACACTGGCATATGGCGTAGAGCATTGGATTCTATGCAGATTCAGGACTGAGTCCATCTGTGCTGTAAGGAGTCAGGTACCCAAGTCAGCAGGAGCTGGTTATCCAAACAGCAACAGAGCCCTTGGCTTTTAGGGGAGATGGCAGGGAGAGAAGGCCAGACTGCACATGGAGTGATTTGGTTTAAGACAAATGCGGACAAAGGGAGGGAGGCTTTCCTGCCACATTAGGAGGGAGCAGAGCACGGGACATTGGACCACAGCTGGACAGGTTCACTTGAACATTCTTATAGAGCTCTGTGAAGGTGATTGGGCTTGCTGGATGGTGTGTACGGGGACCTGAGCACCACCAACAGTGGCCCCTTGCACTGCCACAGGAATACTCCCCAGAGCCACACTGGACATGCCACCCTGCCTCCCTCACAAGAAAGAAAGAAAGAAAGAAAGAAAGAAAGAAAGAAGGGAGGGAGGGAGGGAGGGAGGGAGGGAGGGAGGGAGGGAGGGAGGGAGGGAGGGAGGGAGGGAGGGAGGGAGGGAGGGAGGGAGGAAGGAAGGAAGGAAGGAAGGAAGGAAGGAAGGACAACTAAGCAATCTTATGTGTGGTCCTCAGTCAGAGAGGACCTCCTGTTAGACATTTATAGATTCTTTTTCTAGTCACAACTCAGCTGGGCTTTGGTTGTCCTGAGGGACTAAGCTCTGTGCCATAGGTGAGGTACACAGCTTCCCCTGAGAGTTCTGATGATGGAGCAGGGATTGAGGTGGGGGCACTTGTTGAAGAATGAGAATAATGTGGGTACTTGGGTGCTGGAGCTAATATCTTTCCTAAGGAAATGCTTTCTTGAATGACCAAGAGGCCTGTTTGGCTTTGTGGGACAGATTTGCGTGATAGAACCATGGAGTCAGGCTCTGGGAGGGGGGAGGGAGTGGGCAGCAGGGAGCTGTGGGATGGTTCAGCTGGGGAGGGTTAGGAGTTTGCAGGGCAGTAGAGCACCCCAGGGCCGTGGCTGTACTGGGTGATGAAGCCAGAGTGTGCAGTGCAGCCAGGCCAGGAAGTGTGGGTGGAATCTTACGGGCATTAACTACGAGTATGAGGATTGGAATGAAGACCCGAGCCATGCAGTTGAAGATGTGTAGGGCAGCTCAGAGATTTCAGGTCAGAACGGAAGAAAGCTTAGGTTTTCAGGGTCGGGGAGATAGTACAGCAGGCCTCTCGTGTGACTCACCTGGGTTTGATTCCCAGCACCCCATATGGTCCCGAGCCCCTCTAGGAGGGGGAGTGATCCCTGAGCACAAGCCAGGAATAAGCTCTGAGCACTGCCAGTTGTGGCTCAAATATCCCCACCCAACCCCTGCAAAAAAAGGCCGGGGGGGGGGGCAAGAGGAGGAGGAGGAGGGGGGGGGGGGGAGAGAGAGAGAGAGATTGATTGATTTTCCTTGAGACATTTTCTCAGTTTTAATTTGTTTGAGCCACCTCAGTTGTCCCTCAGTCTCTTTGGGATTCTTGGAACACAAAAACCCAAGGGATGCCACACAAAGGCTGTCTGTTGAACAGGCTGACACTCAGTCTCCTTCCTCGTGGGCACAGCATACAGTTTCCCCACCACGCTGGTCACTGCTGTGTAAACACCAGTCCTGAGATGTGCAGGGCCTAGGGCTCACCTGAGAGGCTTTTTTTTTTTTTTTTTTTGCTTTTTGGGTCACACCTAGCAATGCACAGGGGTTACTCCTGGCTCTGCACTCAGGAATTGCTCCCGGTGGTGCTCAGGGGACCATATGGGATGCTGGGAATCGAACCTGGGTGGGCCGCATGCAAGGCAAATGCCCTGCCCGTTGTACTATCACTCCAGCCCCTCACCTGAGAGACTTTTAAGGAAAATCAGACAGCTGGTACTTTTTCAGGGCAAGCTAGAAGTCTTCCTGGCCCAGCATTGCACATCTTCGGTGCTTACTCTGAGAAACCTCAGGTACGCCCCTGGATGGAGCAGTTGGAGGGATAACAGAGGAAGAGCAGGCTTGCTGTGCCGTGGCCTCCCTGCTCTCTGATAAAAATTGAACATGGGGAAAAAATCAGTAGGATGCTCTTCTGGAGGATTTCAAGGTCACAGTATAAGCCAGTGGTGACAAAGGGAAGTTATTAACCTCTCAGGGTCAGGGGACCCTACATACACTCTCTACAGACAAGGAATTCTGCTTCAGGAAGAGAGCTATAGGAAGTTGGTGCTGTTATGCTAGGAAGATCCTCTCATGGAGAGCTTGTTGCTCTGATTGCAACAAGGGGCTTAGACTGGAATCTTGGCTGATGAAATCAACTGGTAAAGCAAAAGAACACATCACTGCATGTCCTGATGCATCCCTGCTCTCTGACAGCCACTTGAACTAGACTCTCGGGCCCGTTATGGAACCTTCCCGGGTTCATTTTACTGAGGGGTGTTTTGTCCATTTGGCCTGCAGGAAGATTGTGCTTGTGGGGTGCAGTTTTGCAGCACCCACAGAAATGCTGGAGAGGTAACGGTTGATTGTGATCTATTTTAGATTCCGAAGGCCTCCTCAAAACCAAGGAGAAGAATCAGAAGCTTTATACCCGAGCACAGCGGCACCAGGAGAAAAAGGAGAAGATCCAGCGGCACATTCGCAAGCTTGGGGAACTGGTAGAAAAGAAAACCTTGGACTTGCAGAGTCATTACGAGCGTCTGGCCAGCCTCCGGCGCTCTCATATATTGGAGCTCACCTCTGTCATTTTTCCAATCGAGGAAGTTAAGACCGCTGTGAGGTACGGTAATCGAGGTATTTGGCTCTCAGCATCCTCTGGTTCTCCCAAAATCAAATAGTTTTTACCTGTGTCCACACATCATTTGCTGGGCCTCACCCTCAGGTTGCGAGTTTCCTGGGAGATGAATCCCCAGGTCTTATCTGCTGCAGCCAGAGCTCTGGGCGGGGCCTTCCCTGGACCCAGGCCCCAGGAGCTGCTGGGCTGACTCACTCCTCTGAGCCACCTGATGCCCAACGTTGGCTGCAGTCCTGGTCTGGGCGTATCCGTGTGGCAGGTTCTGGAACTCTGATCCTCCTCTCCTTATCTGCTAGTTGAGATGAGAAACGCCCCTCAGTTAGAGAGAGTCTTCTTGGAAATGGAGGCAGGTCCCAAGTGCCTAGGGTGACTCAGACAGGAGTCCACATACTTGCCTTGTCTGTTCCTGGGAACGGGGCCTTGGGAGTGAGACCTTCCAGCTCCATGCACTCTAGGAAGTCGGTGGGGTGTGAGGACAGTGCACCCTAGGGTGACAGTGAGGTGTGAGGACAGCAGTTCCCCATGGGGCTGGTGCTCAGACACTCCTGAGAGCTCCTAAAAAGTGGCAATTCTGGAGAAAACCTCCCACCTCCCCTGCTTAGCTTCCAGTCTGGCTCTTGTGCCTGTTATAAACATCCTTGACAAGGCTGAAGCCAGGCAGGGCTGGGAATCACCCTGAAAGCAAGTCTCACTGCCTTTCTGCCCTGACACCAGGTGTTCTCTTCTGATATGCCTGTTTCCTGCTGGTTGCCTCACTTGCCAGCACCTTTCCTCAGGCTTGACAATCAGCTCACTGTTGCTGGTGGTGTCAGTGTCTTCAGCTGCTTCTTTTCCAAGCTGTCCTTTCATCTGTTGTCACAGTTAATGCCCCAGAAGCCTAAAAGTTGCTTCTAGCTTGAAAACCCCGGGCTGTGGCTCAGTGGCAGAACACTTGCCTTGCAGGTGTTGGCGGCCCTGGGTTCAGTCTCTGGCATGCTAGAAACAGAAGAAAGCAAGCCTGCCCTCTGACTCTTACCAGGTTGTTTCTCATTTGTACTAATTGGCAAACAATAATTGTATTTTCCTGCATAGAGAACTTAAGAAGTGGGTAAAGTCTCTATACTTTAAAAATTCTTACAACTTTCTGAAGGGCTGAATTTATTTCAAAAAGAAAACATATCTAGTAAAAGTTGTACAGGAAGAAAGAGTCCTTTTGTATCTGTGCTGTTTAAATCTTTTACATAAATATCAGTTGTGTTATCTTTTCTATGTTTTATCTTTTCTTTTGTGGTCGTGTTTTGCTTCTGGACCACACCCAGTAGTGCCAGGGGCTGCTCTTCCTGGCTGAGTGCTCAGGGGTCACTCCTGGGATTGCTTAGAGACTGTTTACTGCCAGGGCCAAGCCCTTTGAGCCATCTACCCAGCCTCCAGAGCTGTTTTCATCATCCCTGTAATAAGATTCCTTGTTTGTTCCTTTTTCCTTACTCTTAGTCTCATTTTGGTTTTTGGGCCATACCTGGTATGCTCAGGAGTTATTACTGACTACACCCAGGTACTGCTCCTGGCAGTGCTCAGGGGACCATATGGAATACCGGGGATTGAACTTGGGTCAGCTACCGTGTAAGGAAAATGCCCTAACCGCTTTGCTATTGTTCCAGCCCCTCTTAAACCTTCTTGAGCTAGAGAAGGAAGTCAAGGTGTAGCCTTACATCAGGCTGTTGCAGCCTCACGTTCAGCCTCATCCCTCACAGCCAGTAAGTGGGGGTTACCTGCAGGCACATATCACAGAAGGAAATGAATTGAGCAGGGCTAGAGCAATAGTGCAGTGGCTTGGGCATTTGCTTTGCACTTATCTGACCTGGTTCAATCCTTAGCATCCTATATCGTCTCCCCAAGCGCCACCAGGAGCATACCTTGGTGCAGAGCCAGGAGTAACCCCCAAGCATTGCCAGCATGACCCAAAAAGAAAAAAAAAAAAGATTGAGGGTCACTGGCTGAGAGAACCAACTCTAAAGAGGTCGGGCACAACAGCCCTCCGCACCTGCCACCTTGCCCCCACTCCCAGCCCCAGTCCTGGCAGTACCCCTTGGGCAGCCTTGCAGCATACTGAGTAGATTCAGTTCTTTCTGTAGTGCTACCTGCTTTCTGTAGTGCTCTGCTCCTCTGGCAGCAGATCTCAGAGTCTGCTTCGTAGGCTTCTGGGGTCCCTGAGGCCCTATCAGGGGTTCCTGGAATCAAACCATTCTCAGAACAATACTGATGCTTTGGTTCCTCTTTTCACTGTGCTGAGCTTGTCTGGGTAGCTCAAAAGCCATGGTCCATCAGCACCAGGAATACTCAGTGTATTTCTCTTTGTGCTTGCAGTTTAAACCAAAAAAAGCCAGTCTCAATCAAGAATATGCTCGACTCATTGATGCCTGGCATGAGTGAGTCACTAATCTCCATCCCCCCTTCCCCCCCCCCCGCCCCCCCCCCCCCCCCACACACACAAAGTGTTTTTGAGGAGCCAGGAAAAATCTCAAGTGCTGGAGCATGTGCCCAGCATGTGTGAGGACCTGAGTTTGATTCTCAGCACTGCATGATCTTCAGGCACTGCTGGCTGTGGCCACTCTTAAGGTAAAAATAGTACATTATAAGTCATTTTTTAAAAATGTGCTTGATGACAGGCTGGACAAATACAGCAGGTAGTGTGCTTGCCTTTCAAGTGGTTGACCTGAATTCGATCCCCAGCATACTGTATGGTCCACTTTAAAAAGTGATTCCTAGGTACAAAACCAGGAGTAATCCCTGAGCATCACCAGGTGTTGCCCCAAAACTGTAGCACTATAGCACCATCCTCCCATTGTTCATTGCTCAAGCGGGCACCAGTAATGTCTCCATAATGAGACTTGTTACTGCATATTGAATACGCCACTGGGAGCTTGCCAGGCTCTGCCATGCCGGTGGGGTACTCTCGGTAGCTTGCAGGGCTCTCTGAGAGGGACGGAGGAATCGAACCCAGGTCGACTGTGTGCAAGGCAAACGCTTTATGAAGTCATCCTTTAAGTTCTCTTTGTTCCAAACTATAAGTGGAATGGGGAGAATGCATAAAATGCTTGCTGCATACCAAAATATCATGATTGTCTCAAGAAAAACACTTGCGTTATAAGTAGAACTTGCTACTTTTCTCATGGGTCACTACTTTTTCCTGAAGGAACAGCTGAAAGATTGGAACCTGTTAAACAACGCCACTCAGCAATACTCTTTTTGGGGACGTTGGGGGGAGATATTTTTCTTCCCATAAAAATAGTATAATGCTGACGTGTAAAGAAAGGACTGTTTTGTTTCAAATTACCAATTTTCTCAGTTTAATTTCAAAGCAAATGGCTAAGTGGAGGTGCAATAAATATCACTAGCTATACCACATCAACACAAAAGCTCTTTGAACTTCTCAAAAAAAAGAAGAAAAAATTAGCATGCCAAGGGGGATTGAGGCCAAATAGTTAAGAGAATCTTCTTTAGTTTGAGAATCTACTTCTTGGGGACCAAGCCAAACCCCAGTGTCATCTTTTTCACATGGGGTGGGCTTTTATACTACAGCTGGTTTGAATTTGATCTCGGTCTTTATTCCAATTAAGTTCCTGATCTCCTGGGTACTCTGTCAAGGGCCTTATGTCTTGCTGGCTGTGTACTGCCTACCGATGATGTTCCCATTTCTGGTGCCCGAGAGGTTGTACAGGGTGCTGTTTGCCTTGCAGGCTCCTGACTTCACTCAATCTCTGGAACCACATGGTTCCCTGAACACCATAGGGAGCATGAGCCAAATCCCAGTGGGTGTGCCCCCCCCCCAAACAAAAGAACCAGCAACCACAAAAAATATACCCTTCTCTTAAAAATCAACCGTGTCTTCTGACTCTGCAGAGATCCTGCAGATGTGTCTTCGGAGAGTGACAGTGCCATGACCTCAAGCACAGTGAGCAAGCTCGCCGAAGCCCGCCGGACCACGTACCTCTCAGGGAGATGGGTCTGTGACGATCACAATGGGGACACCAGTATCAGCATCACGGGGCCGTGGATCAGCCTGCCCAACAACGGAGACTACTCTGCCTATTACAACTGGATGGAGGAGAAGAAAACCACCCAGGGCCCTGGTGAGGAGCAAAACTGCCCTTGCAGACATTTATCCCTTGCATGGGCTTTGTAATTGAGGTGAAATTTATGCAACCGAGTGAAGAGCTTGGTATCATTTAGTGCATTCAGAGCATTATGCAACCATCACCTCTATCTAGTTCCAAAATATTTTCATCACCATGGGAAACTTTAGTGCGTGAAGCAATACTCCCTGTTCCTCCCCCTCCTCCCTGCCCTGGCAACCACAGATCTGTTTTCAGTCTCTAGACTTGCCTGTTCTGGATATTTCCTATAAATGGGATCATGTAACATGTGACTTTCATGTCTGGCTTTTCTCACTTAGCATAATGTTTTCCCCTACATTTTGTTATGTATCCAAGTTTCATTCCTTTTTATGACTAAATAGTAGTCCATTGCCTGAATCATTCATGGTTAGTTTCCCACTCATCTTGTGATTAAAACACGTGTATTTTTAAGATAGTTCACCTTGGGATGACATTTATTTATATGCAAGACCTCACAGTTCACAGAACAAGAGCTGAGGGATCCCACTTCTAGTTTATGACTCTGTAAAGAGCTTGTTTTAGCATTCCAAAATGGGGTGTTGAAATGTCCCAGTAGCAAAATCATTTTTAAAAAACCTTCGTAGTTTGTCTTTGGTGGAGGAGGATTAGTGATTGAGTCATTGAGTAAACACTTCCTGAGCATTCTGTGTCACACACAGTCCCGGGCGCTGCTGCCCATCAATGGTGGCACCACCAGGAGTAGTCTGGCCCTTTTCCTTTCTTTGCAGAGAAGGGAGGAAGCAAGTAAATGAACCCAGGCACTCAGGTACCACGTGTGCAGTGTCAGGGACCTGCCGGGCATCTGCAGGGTGGGGAGACAGGACAGAACTGCCCTACCAGAAAGTAATCGGGGCAGCCTCTGGGAGGATGTGACTGTGAAATAAACTGGGACTTAATCATCCTCATAGATGATTATGGGGCGCCACCAGTTGAGACTTTCAATTTTATTTGCCCTCTGTTGTTCATCCTTATTTTTGACCCATTTGCTTGGTTACATTCCATTCCACAGAAAAAGATACAGCTTTATTGACTGGCCACAGATATTTAACAAGTAAACAGTAAAATCAGAAGTGACAGAAGTAGTGATCATAGATTTAGGCTCCTTGGTACTTCTGTTGGGATAAAGGTTCTCTGTTCAGTTGTTGTTTTCCTGCCTTAGACATGGAGCACAGTAACCCCGCCTACACTATCAGCGCTGCTTTGTGCTACGCGACTCAGCTCGTCAACATCTTGTCTCACATACTCGATGTAAATCTCCCCAAGAAGCTGTGTAACAGGCAAGTATCGATGGTGGTGAAGCCCCCAAGCTCAGAGCTTGTGTTCCTGCCTGTTCTGATTACACCCAAACCCCGAATTTAAATGTTGCTCTGACAGAAAAGGTCTAATTGTGAAATTCTGAGATCATTCAAAATCTTTGTTGATATTCATTTCAAAAGTCCTGTATGCTAATTTGTCTCCTTATCTTACAATTGTACATGAAGTCTTTGAGGAGCCCACAGAAAATTTTCTTCCACTTGAGGAAAAAATATAACAGTAGGAGGAAAACAGGATATTCAGAAGGCATGTTCAGAACATTTAAATTCTGCTTTTTCTTTGGAATATATATGGTATAAATTTTTTGTTAAATTGCAGTGGTTTAGAGCTGGAGAGATAGTACAGCACGTAGGATATTTGCCTTGCACGTGGCCGGCCTGGGTTTGATTCCTACATCCCATATGAGCACCGCCAGGAGTAACCCCTGAGCATTACTAGGTGTGGCCCCAAAGCCAAAAAAATAAAGAAGTTGCAGCAGTTTACAGTCTACTCAGTTTTGCAAGATTTTCTTACCCACCCTCTGGTTACAACATTTCAAACAAATATAAATGTGAGTGCCTTCTACCCCATTCTGCAGATAGTATCCTTCTATACCAATGTGTTTTCAGTTTTTATGTAATAATTTGTGTTGAGCGCCTGTGGTGTGCTGGGCACTGTTCCAGGGAGGAGGAGGCTTAGAGGTGAAAACATAATCCCTGCCCTCTCCATGCTTGCCTTTTCTTGGCAGGACAAATGACCAATGAGTCAGCAGTCCAGCAGGGGGCGGTAGTGTGTGGGGACCGAGGGGACTGGTGAGAGAAGGGGTGTGGAGGCACGAAAAGGCTAGCTGTGCTGGAGGGGACTGGATAGATCTTGCAGGTGCCCAGCGGAGCAGAACACTGCAGCGTGGATCTGCGGGGCAAGGGCCTGCAGGCAGATAGGCAGTTTCAGCCTTTGGAGAGGGACAGTGGCAGTGGTGCAAGGGCCCTGAGGTCTGAGATTTCAGGATGGGGGGTCTCTGGGGACCTTCCTCTTGTGTCTGCACTGGGTAGACAGTGACCAAGGTTCCTCTGTGTATGTTCCCAGTCGGAGCACCCTTTCCACTGTACTCAAAGGAGTGATCTAGAGGCATGAGGACTGGTCTTCCAGCATCTCTGTGGACTAAGTGTCATGTGGCCTGGTCAGTGTGTGTGTGTATTGGTTAGTTCGGCAGATGTAGCACCAGCATGGTGGATTTTCAAAGGAAGTGTCTGTTCCGTGCAGTCTGTTCAGAGGCAAAGGATGTGGGTATATTTCCCGCTGAAACATTGTCAGGCAGTGGGCTTCTTGGGTCTCTCAGTTGCCAGTCACCGGCCGGGCATGGTTCCTGGGGTGGGGACAAAGGGGACATTGGCTAAGTTTTCAAAATGAACATTTTTTTTTTTGGAGGATTTTTTTTTCTGAAGGAACGTACAAATTACAAATGGTATGTTTGTTTTGCAGTGAATTCTGTGGGGAAAATCTCAGCAGACAGAAATTTACTCGAGCAGTGAAGAAACTGAATGCCAATATTCTTTACCTTTGCTTTTCTCAGGTAGGAAAATGTGCTGTGAACTAAGTTTTCATTTCTTACACGGCTGAAATATTAATGAATTCTTTGTTTCTTCTAGCATGTAAATTTAGATCAATTACAACCACTACATACCCTCAGGAATCTAATGTACCTGGTCAGTCCAAACTCTGAGCACCTAGGCAGGTAAGGGGGTGTTTGTTGCTTTTCTCTATGTGGCCTTGCTCTGCTGACTTAAAATAAAACTTGTATGTGGATGCTCCAAAAAGTACAGAACTAACTCATCCAGGATAAAAGAGGAAATAGTGACTCATCATTTACATTACTGATACAATCTTTATGTAGAAATTTCTCAGAGAAGATTAATACTACATAATACCAGATACTTTTTTAAATCCTTCAGATGGGGTGGGCAAGTCTACCTGTTGGGGGCGGGGGGGCAGTGGGGAATGGGACTGTGTGCTCTCTCGAGCTGGTTCCTTATTTAGCCTTACTGAGGGGCTCCTCTTTTCTTGTGCATTCTCTCCCATGCCTATTTCTTCCTTCCCATTGGAACTGTTCATCACAATTTTCTTCTTGTTAATGAGAAGTCTGGCCACCACTTTTTGGAGATAGCAGGGTTGGGGATTGATGGCATTGAGGGTGTGAGGGCCGTTCGCTTAAGGCATACATTGGTGACAGATCAGAGCAGCCGGTACTGGCCTGGGGGACCTCTCCCTAGCTCACTGAGGCATGACAGACTGAGGTGCATCCTCCAGCCATGCGTGCACCTCTTCTCTGGCTGCGAGGCTTGCTCTGAGCCAATTCTCCATATGCTTCTGCTGAAGAGGTAATTTGGGTCATGTATTTCAGTTGGGGCCAATCCCAGTGGTGTACTACTATTTGCTCTGACTTCAAGGGCCTGCGGGGAGTCCCCTGCACAGACTTGAGTGCCTGGGGTCCCCCACTGGCAGGGCATTTTCTGTTCTCACCTGCTCTTGCCTGTCCTCTGCTGCTTCATCTGCCCTCCTGCCCTCCCAGGAGTATTTTTTTCTGGGACAGAAAACCTTGAACACAACCATGGCCTCTCCTCAGGAAACTGCAGGTATACCCCAAACTGTGTGCTGTTTTATAGAAATTACAATCCCACCGAGTGGTTCACAGCCCCAGAAATCTAATATTAGGAGTAGGAATAAAACGTAAGAGGGGCAGCATGTTGAATCAGATCCTCACTGCAGCTCAGTGTTGGTGGCTGGGACAGATGGACTCATGAAGCTGCAGGTGTCCCTCACTGGTGTCTGCCAGTGCACACGACATCCCCTAAGCTCCATCCCGACTACTGCAGCAGAATAATTTTAAAGATTAAAGGCCAGAACAGTAGTATGAAAGGTAAGTGCTTGCCTTGCAGTGGCCAATCTGGGTTTGACCATATGGTCCCCTGAGCACCACTGGGAGTGATCGGTGACCAGAGCCAGGAGTAAGCCCTGAGCATCGCTGGGTATGCCCCTCCAATAAATAAATAAATATATAAATGTAAATTATAAAACATCTAGAATAAAATATAATGTTTTATAACTAAAGGTTAGGGAGGGAAATGGCCACATAAACACCATAAGGGAGTTACCCATTTTACCATTAAGAAAGTTAAAACATAAGCCGTGGGCATGTTTTGTGACCTTAGAGTAGACAGAAGCCTCAACGAAAATCTGAGATCAAAGAAATACAAGGGCTTAATAAAAAAAAAAATAGACAACGGATTCAGTCTGGTATTTCACATGAAAGAAACTCTAGTCATGGGGCTGGAGCAATAGCACAGCGAGTAGGGCGTTTGCCTTGCACATGGCTGACCCGGGTTCGATTCCCAGCATCCCATATGGTCCCCTGAGCACCGCCAGGAGTAATTCCTGAGTGCAGAAGTAACCCCTGTGCATCACCAGGTGTGACCCAAAAAGCAAAAAAAAAAAAAAAAGAAACTCTAGTCAGTGTTCAAGAGTGGGGAAAAAAAGCCTTCGCTGTCCATCAGAAAAAAAAAAAAACAGAATTCAGAACTAGTTTCTAATTTTCAGCCATCGATTTGGTAAGATGGAAAGCCTTTCTGGTTTCCGTGTGAGCCGGCACACAGGGAAACAGCCTCTGCCTCTGGTTTCTCTGGGCTTGTGCCAGAGTCAGCTCTCCATCCTACGGGTCCATCCCACAAGGTCCCTGGGCACCATCAGGCTGTGAACCAGGAAGCAGGAAACAGAACTGCAGTGGTGCCCTTTGCAGAATCAGGCCCAGAGCTGGTTCCTGAAACCTGGGTGGGACTTCCTAATTCCTTGGAGACCAACTGTTTTAAGAATTTCTTCCCAGATCCAAAAGGAACTTTCTCTTTTTTCCATTCTTTTCTTTTTTTCCTGCTTGGAGCTCACTCACATCACACATGTAAGGCAAGTACTTTTCTACTAATCTCATCCTTGCACAGAAAACTCTGTTTCTCTCTTGAGTAAATTCAGATGTACAAGAATATTGCAGAAAAGATTTAAGTAGTACAAAGACTTTTTTTTAAAAAAATACTCTTTTTAAAGTACTCTTTACCCAACCACCTTTGTTAATATTTTACCCCGTTTGCTCTGTCATTTGTGCCGTCTTTTCCTTTCTCCATAAATATCACAAAGTACCCCCAGCCCCAAATCTATGATGCATCGTGTCTCTTGACTCTTACATGCTTAGTAAAAATTACTTTCTAAAAATAAGGGCTAGAGAGATGATGGATAGGGCACTTGTCTTCCACGCAGCCAACACAAGTTCATTCGATCCACAGCATCTCATATGATCCCCTGTTCCACCTGGGCGATTCCTGAGTGCAGAGCCAGGAGTAACTCCTGAGCACTGCTAGGTGTGGCCTAAAGCCAAAATAAAGTGTGGGGGTGGGGGAATGTAATCCTCTTACCCATAACGTCCTCATACAAGCAAATTTAACATTGGCACAGTATTTTTTATGTCATGTACTACCCATGCCAGGCACATTTTCTTAGTGCAGGAGTCAGTTTCCTTCCTGGTGGCAGTCTGTAACCTTTTCCCACCTGCTCTGTGCCTTTCCTACTCCGTCTGAGATCTGTGTGCTGTGAGGCATCAGATTCCTGTCTGTCTTTACTCTCTCCTTTAAAGTCAGAGCATTTCCGCAGCCTGCTTTGTCTTGGGCAGCGTCAACTGCTTCTTTGCTGTGTCCATTTGAGTTTATATGGTATTTTCTTAAAATTAGATCCAATCGGCACATGCTAAACTGGACCTTCATCCTTTGCTGGCAAGGTGATGCTGATCACCAAGGTTCTTCTTTCTCTGGCTCTGCCATGTCATTCCTCTTTCTCATTCTTGCAGCTAATGAATAGCCTTAGAGATGCAATCAAACTGTGCAGTTAATTTTCCTTCTTAGCCGAACTTCCCCAGAATGAGCATCTGTGATTCTTCCCTGATCAAACTTTACTGCCATTGTACCTACTTGAGCATGCGATTCCATCCGGGACATTCTGGATTCTGTGCTGTTAGATAATATTTCCCAAACAAGATGTTTTGCAAAAGGGTCTTTAAGAAAAGCCTTGCAATCTCAAAAATTCTGGTTTCAGGGTTTTGAATGAAAAGGTTTCAGACACTAGCTATATTAGAAGAGTGATTGTATGATCTCTACTCCCCAAAAAAGTTGAGCTGAAAATATTATTTTACTCATTAGATTCTCGGTTTCTGTGAAGTGTGAGCAGGTACTCTTTCCCAAAGCTGGGAGTAAGGGCAGAAGTGTTGATGAAGTCCTGTTGATGGGGCTGTGTGTGTGTCTGTGTCTGTGTCTGTGTATCTGTGTGTGTGGTGTCTTCTTGGGTCCCTGGTGGCTCTCAGAAACAAGCCACCCACTGAAGCTAGGATTGTTCCAACTGGCTGCACTGCGAGCCATCTACTACTGGCTTGTATTTGAAATGTTTTTAATTTGTTTCATTTGTTTTGATTGTGGACTAGAGCAGTAGCACAGGTAGGGCGTTTGCCTTGCATGCAGCCGACTCAGATTCGATTCCTCCGCCCCCTCAGAGAGCCTGGCAAGCTACCGAGAGTATCTTGCTGCACGACAAAGCCTGGCAAGCTACTGTGACATAATCAATATGCCAAAAACAGTAACAACAAGTCTCACAGTGGAGACGTTACTGGTTCCCGCTCAAGCAAATTGATGAACAAAGGAGGACAGTGACAGTGACAATAATTTTGATTGTGGGCCCACACTTGGTGGTCCCAGGGCCTAGTCCTAGCTCTGTGCTTGAAGAAGTCACTCTTAGAGGTGCTCAGGGGACCATGCATATATTCCAAGGATCAGACCCAGCTCCCTCATGCAAGGCCTGCACACAGCTCCTGGTGCTCTCTCCAACCCGATGTTCCTACATGTGACCTGATCTGTGCTATTGAAGCTGCCCTGGGGGTTCCCAGAGGGAGAAGGAGGTGGCCTGGTGGGAAGGGCAGCAGTACTGAGTGAAGGAAGCTGAGGTGGAGTCTAGGAGAGTGGGGACTTGTCTTGCTCATGAACATTTCAGCAGCAAATGCTCTGGTGGGGAGGGAAGAGGCGGAGGGGCACGCAGACAGGTAGCTCGTTGGGGAGGGGTGAGGACCCCGCTTGGGCAGTGTTGAGAATGGAGCGGCTAGTTTGGCGACAGAAGGGGACATGGCCCTTGGAGAGGAAAATGCTCCCATGTTGGGGGTGGGAGGAACAGAGGCAGCCATGTCTGAAAAGATGGTGCTAGCGTATGGAAAGCAGAAGAGAAGGGAGAAGAGAAATGAACTGTACAGAGAGAACCTTCAAGAAACATCCTCAGAGCTAAGATACAGGCTGCGGTGGTCATTGGGTTCGAGAGTTTGAATTTCTGGCATCACATACGGTCCCCAAGCACTGTCAGGAATCACTCCTGAGCACGGCTGGGAGCACAGCCGGGTGTGGCCCCCAGACAAAACCAAAACAATAATAATCATTAAATGTAGGCCGCCGTGGGCCCCAGTCTGAGGAAGCTTTGCCGATCTGTATCCAGCCATACCCTTCAGTGTGCTTAAAGAGCTGACTCACCGGTGGTTTCCACGGGAGAGACCCTCTCTGTTGTTTTCCTTAAGGGCCGCTGTTTGCAGGCATGAGTTGGGCGTGTCAAGGTTGTCCGGGTGGAAAGCAGAGGCCGGTCAGAGGCTTGGGACAGATCAGCCTGGGCACAGGGCTTCCGCAGCTCAGGGGTCTTTCGGAGGCAGGCAGGACAGAGGAGGACGCGGTGTGGTGTGTTTGGTGTGCTGTGTGCTGGGTGCTGTGGTGGTGTGTGTGGTGGCCTTGCCCCTCATTCCCTGAGGAGCAGTCGCTTGTGTACGAAACGGCAGTGCAGTGACGGGCAGGTGCGGGGCCGATGCCGGGGTCACTGGTGCCCGCCAGCCCCCGCTCTCCGGGACCGTGACCGGGAGCGACGGTCGCATCGCGTCGCGTCTCACGAGAGCCCCCCCACCCACTGTCGGCACGCAGGTCGGGACCCTTTGAAGTGCGCGCCGACCTGGAGGAGTCCATGGAGTTCCTGGACCCCGGCGCGGCCGGAGAGTCCGACGAGAGCGGCGACGAGCGCGTGAGCGACGAGGAGACGGACCTGGGCACAGACTGGGAGAACCTGCCCAGCCCGCGCTTCTGCGACATCCCGTCGCAGCCCGTGGAGGTGTCGCAGAGCCAGAGCCCGCAGGCGTCCCCGCCCATCGCCAGCAGCAGCGCGGGCGGCATGATCTCCTCGGCCGCCGCCTCTGTGACATCGTGGTTCAAGGCGTACACGGGGCACCGCTAGCGCCGGTGGGCGCGGCCGAGGGAGCCCCGGGGGTCGCAGTGGAAACAGTGCCTGGAAACGAAAGGAAACGGAGAGGGAGACAGCCCCTTTCTGTCAGGCGGCACCCGGGGCCTCGCCACCGCCCTGCAGGGCGCCTGCGATGGAGCGGCAGCCCGGCGGGTCCTGTGGAGGCAGAAATGCGTGCAGTCTCCCCCTCGGGCCGCAGGACCCGGGGACCCAGCCTGGCCTCGGACACCGGACACCGAGTCAACATGTTGCCTTTAAAGGCTGAATCACAAGGCGTGGTTCTTACTGGAGGAGGACTTGAAAGATTAGAAAACCATCTAATGTTTCCTTTTACACTATTCCTCACCCCTCCCCCCCCCTTCTTGGTACAGAGAACCAGCAAGCAGTTTGCAATACTTGATTTCTTTATGATTTGGTCAGGTTCGTTTTTTTAGGCCACGGATTTTGGTTTGGCTTGGAAGGGGTAGTCTTTTGTTGTTGTTTTGAGGGGTTAGGAGTCATTGAAAAACTGTTCCGTTTGTGCTGCTGTCATAGCTTGCAAGACATTCCTTTTTTTTCTTTTTCCCCATGCACCAAAGAAACTAAGGTTCCCGCCCCCCCCCCCCCCCATCCATGAACAGAAAGATCCTAGCTGCAATAATGTCCTAGAGATTTTAAAATTATCTTTATTCTGAGGTGAATTCCGTGTATTTTTACCTAGCTTGTTGGAATCCTGCCTTCCACACTACATGGTTTTTCGAACTGAATTGCTTTTCCTAAGTGGCAAATGAGTCGTTATGGTGATTCCCTTAGGCAGATGCAGCGCCTGCCAGGACGCTGGCTAAAGGACCCCTTCACCACAGGGCCTCTGCTAATTTCTCACATCTGAGTTCTCCCTGGCACACAGTAGTGGCAGGTTCCTCCAGCAAAGCCAGTCTGCCTGCCTGTTCCTCAGAGCTGGTATGGCCTGTGGACCCTGTGCTCAGACAGGCAGAGCTTGTCTCCCCCTTAGGAAAGTGCAGCTGGAAGTTTTTTTTCCCACCAAAAGCTCCTTTTCAGCTCAGAGCCCTGGTTATTCTCTTAGTGACAATCTTACAGGAAAATTGTAGAGAGGCATTATGTACAAATATGTAAGTAGTTTTTTTTTTAATTTTTAATACTTGCACACACACACACAAATCCTATGTAATGACTCCAAAAACTCAAACCTATGAAAAATTCCCGACAGGAATTCTCCCCATATCTTGTTTAGAGTGATGAGCATGATAGTACCTCAAATACATCCTCAGGAGGCCCACCCTGCCCCACTCTGCTGCGTTCCTCACTGTAATGATCATAGTTGATATTTGCCTCCAGACCCGAGGTGCTATATAGCTTTGGCCATTGTGTATATTTAGTGCTTGGTAGACTTTTGGGGTAGCCTCACAGAAGGATATTGTGTTCCTGTCCAAGAGTTGCAGGTGCCCTGACTGTCTCCATTTTCCACAAAAAAAAATCAAAAAAACAAAACAGAAAAACCCCAGAAAACAAAACAACCTGTCAGAGCTTCCAGGGGGGCCTCAGTGCAGCAGCCTATTCTAAGTGCTCGCCTTCCTGAGTGCTGGGCTTGGTTCATGGTTCCATCTGTGAATTCAGGTGATGGAGAGCAAGTTTGGAAGACTTGAACAGGAGGAACCTGTGAACCCTAGCGTCCCATGATATTCATTGTCCAGGCACTTCAGACAACTTCAGGCAACTTCAGTTGGGATGCTGGGGTCGGAGGCTTGGTGAAGACGGACCGTAGCTAAACTGCACAGTTTTCACCGTTTTCCTCAAGCCTTTTATGTTACCACAAGTGTGCGATGAAGCTCATGAATAGAATTCAGAGACTACAGGCTCCTATCTAAGCTAGTTTAAGAAATGTCCAAGGACATGGGAAATTTAGAGATACATAGGGGTTGGTATACTTGTATAGGGATCAGTATAAGGTTGTTGTTGATATCAACTATAGGCACTTTACTTAGGGTTAAATGATGAAACCCTTAAGAGGTTTTGAACACCAACATACTGGCTTATACTGCTGAGATATTTTGGTTTTCATTATTTTGCACTGGATACTGTGTAAATATACTTAAATATACATTTCAAACCACTGTTTTTTCTACTCTTTTTGCTGCTCATTAAAATCTTTCATGTAGGTGCCAGAACCATATGTAAACAGCTTTTTAAAACTGAAGCTGGTATTTTTTTTTTCCAAAAAAAAAGCCATAATATTTGGTCGTTTTCCATATCAAAATAATTTGAAACAAGGTGTAATACTAATTTAAAAAAAACCCACAGGCACCAAATCGGCTGCTTGAAACGGTCTTTGAAAGACTTACTTTTTTTTTCTTTTTTCTGCAGGTAGGGGGTGGTTGTGGGGGTTGTGATAAAATAACGTTTTGCACATCTAAGAGTTAAGGGGGAAGTTGGTGCCACTGTCAGGAGTGGCAGCGCATAGCCACGAGGACTCCTGTAAGAAGCTGGGAAAGCGGGTGCGTGGGCGGTCGGAGAACTGCGGGTGTCCGGGAGCTGGGGCACTGGCGCGTGCAGGAACTTCCCTTGCTCTGTGACTTCCAAGCCAGTTTGAGTCAAATGTTTTCTAAACTTTTATTGTACTATTGCAATAAATCTTTTAACAATACTTTGAGAACTTGGCTATCTTTTTTTTTCCCCCCGTTTTTTATAATTTTATTTATTCAATCACCGTGAGAGCAGTTACAAAGCCTTCAGGTCCAAGTCTCGGTCATACAATGAAACACCCGTACCTTCACCAGTACCCATTCTCCACCCCCAACAACCCCAGTATACCTCCATCCCACACCCTCCCCCTACCTTTGGGGCAGATGATTTCTACATTACTCTCTCTACTTTGATCGCATTCAGTATTTTGACACCAGACCCATCATTATGTATTTGAGATTTTACCCCAACACTCAAATCTGCTGGAAAGGCAACAGTAGACAATTTGTTTTCTATTGCTGGTTATGAATAACATATGATGTTGCGTGGATGTGGCTGCAGTAGTGGCCGTGCGATTTTGAAATTCCGAAATTTTAACACTTAAATCTGGAGGGATTTCTGCCAAAACCTGCTGGGTTCCCAGATTTGCTTCTGAGTCTCTGGGATCATGGCTGTTAAGCAGCTTGATCAGGAGCCAGAGAGGCCGTTTGTGAGTGATGACTTGGGGTCTCATTGGGGTGGGGAGGAAAGGACCAGCTCCACCCCCATCCCATGAGGCCCAACATGTCTCATCACTGTGGGTCTAAGCTTGACTGTCCAATGTCCTCTGGAGGATGGTGGCCACCGAGCCACCAAGGGGAAGCAGGCGGAGGGACAGTACCCTTTCCCCCCTGGGGTGGCCCGGCGACAGTAACCTACTACGGGGTCCAGACACATTTATGCCAAAAGCCACTGGGTTTCGAGATTTGGTTCTGAGTCTGGGATCATGGCCATTAAGCAGCTTGATCAGGAGCCAGAGAGGCTGTTCGTGGGCGATGACTTGGGGTCTCATTGGGACGGGGAGGACAGGACTGGCTCCACCCCCATCCCGTGAGGCCCAACAAGTTCCGTCACTGCAGACCCAAGCCTGACTGTCCAGTGGCCTCTGGAGGATGATGGCCACCGGGCCGCCAGGGGGAACAGGCCAAAGCATGAAACCTCTTCCCACCTGGGTTGGCCCAGCACCAGTAACCTACTGCAGGGACCGGACGCAGTTCAGCCAAAACCCGCTGGGTTTCGAGATTTGTTTCTGAGTCTCTGGGATCATGGCCTTTAAGCAGTTCTATCAGGAACCAGAGAGGCCATGCCTCCAATTATGTAGCTGAGCCGGAGGTGGCTTGTGGGTGTGTTTCCCACATACCTAACTTTTGGCCATTTACTTTCTTGGTAAACTTTGCCCCAAGTTTTCGGGGTCTGGCCAAAGGCACAGCAGCAATTTTGGGGTATCTGGAAGTCTGAAGGTGTCATCAGGCTGCTGATGCACTAGCCTCACAGGTACAGATTGATGGCTGTCTTTTTCAAGCACAGATCATTTAATACTGGTGTGTTGAGATTGGCAAGAGTAAGATCAAACCATGGAGTATATGACACAGATTCTGGGCTGATTTGGGGCCCCGTCTGTTTGGCAGGGAAGAAGTTCCTCTAGCACTTACTACAAGCACAGAGGGTGGTGGGGAGGACAGGGCTCCCAGTACACACACCTGACATCTGCCCTCTAGTGACCTGGGGTTTGTAGCTCTGCAGGAATCCTTAGAGATCCATGTTGGGGAGTCATGTGAAACGTACCCAGATTCAGGCTGCAGAATGTCGGAGGCAAGGGGAGTCTGAGAGATTTGAGTGGTTTTGAAGAATCCCTCCATCGCCGTTTTTTGTTGTTGCTGCTGTTTCAGGTTTTGTTGGGGGGCCGGGGGCATACTTTATGGTGTTCAGGGGCTACTCCCAGCTCTTGGTGCTGGGATTGTTCCTGGCAGTTTCGGAGAGTATGCAGGGCCAGGGTTCAAACCCAGGCCTCCTGCAAGCACAGCATGCACTCAGCCCGTGTAGAGCAGGTAGAGCATTTGCCTTGCACACAGCTGATCCAGGTTTGATGTCTGGCACCCCATATGCTCCCCCAAGCACCAGGAATGATCCCTGAGCACAGCTGAGTGTGGCCTGAAAACAAACCAAAAATAACAATAATAATAAAGGACCAGAAATTTTGAAACTGGTCCTTTGGATAAGCTGTGTCCTCAATGAGTGAAAGCCACCACCAGCACTCCATCCCAAGATCTGATGAGAATTTAGCCTCATGTAGGATTTATAACCTAAATATTTCACTGATAAAGTTGCAGAAACCATCCATGGGATGATCTTCTAGAAGGAAAGAGAGAACAGAAGGGTAAGAACCCATCAGTGATGTACTTTATTTTTTTAATAGGAAGGAGTGAGGTAATAGGGGCGTGGAATAGGCAAGTTGAATGAGTCCTTTTAAAGAAAAAAGAAAAATTGGCTCAGGGTCTTGCTTGAGGTCAGGAGACTGATCCTTAGTGTTACTTGCCTGAGCACAGCCCCGCCAGCCCTGCTGTGGGGACCCTCAGTGCCGGCAGAGTGTGCTCTAGAGCCCCCCTTCAGCTGTGTTTGGCATCATCATCTCAACAGCAGCACCAGCAGGGAATAAACTGGCAAATGATACCACCAGGGAGGTACTAAAGAGCAGGCTGGGAGCTGGCTGAGTGCAAAGAGGCCAGAGTGATTAGAGGTAAGTGGGGAGGCATGAATGCCTCGGGATGGTATCCAATTATTCATCTAAATTACTTGTTACCGCCCTATTTGGGTGTGACCTTTAAGCATCAACTTTGTGACTGTGGAAGACGCCTGGGTTTTGATGAGTCTGTCTGCTCTCTGCAGTTTCCTTTATTTAAAAGACTTTCCCAGGAAGACCTTTCAAAAGCTATGTGTGGTCTGATCCATTGGATCTGGTACAGCAGCATCACCTGGGTGTTTGTTAGGAAAAGCAGGACTTTGGGTTCTATCACACACCCTGAACCACCACCCTCATTCTGACAACCTATATGTACATTTTAATATTTAAAAAGCTTTGATCTACAACAGTGCTGAACAAAGAAAGTAACACCGCAGGTGTAGTTTAAGGTTTTCCATCAATGACATTTAAAAAGTAAAAGGACCAGAGAGATAGTACAGCAGCCTAGCACATGGCAGACATGGGTTCGATCCCTGGCACCACACAGGGTCCCCTGAACACGAGGAGTAAGCCCTGAGCACAGCTGGGTATGGGCCCCGTAGAACCGCCAAAATATTAAATAAGGGCTGGAGAACTCAAAAAAGAACAAATGTCTGATTTGTACAGACCCTGAGTTAGGTCCCCAGCCCAGCACCCATGGTATAGCCCTAGGAACCTCCAAGCACCACTGGGACCCATGCAGCACTGAGCCAACCCTCTGGCCCACAAAGCTGTGTTGCCAAGAGTGGCCTCCCACAAAAAGAAAAAAAAAGTGGTGAAAATAGGTTAACTTGTACTTATTTTTGGAGCCAGAAACCCAATGTCTCATCCATGGGAAGCATTTGCTCCACCATTGAGTTGCATCCCTGGCCCAAGTTTTACTTCATTGCTTCCACATTACATCAGTATCGAAACAGGGAACTGGGAGGGAGGAAGAAAACAGGCAAGAGGGAGACAAGGCAGGAGGGAGGGGTTCCCAAAGGGTCCTGTTTGCATTCAGGCTTTGGACCATAGTAATAATGGAGCAGCTTTATAATACACTAATAAATGCCCTATAATAAACTAATAAACTCTCTTTGACTGTGTTCATTTAGGGTGTGCCAGGAGTTTCCAATTAAGACCCCGTGCAAACAGCCTCTACTGAGTACCCAAGGGTGGGGATGGGAGGGCGTGTGCAGGCTGAGAAGCCTGCAGCCCAGACAACGGCGGTGAAGAAGGAAAAAGTCATGAGAGAGGCCCCTCCTGCAGGCTGGGGCAGCCGAGCTGCCATTTGGCGTACTAAGTCCTGCAGGGCTGGTGGGGGAGCCCTAGGAGGCGTGGGAGCTGTCTCTCAGCGGGAACTCTCCTTGCCACCCAGCTCCACGTAACTGCCTGTTCACAGAGTTGGCTCAGTGGCTGAGGCAGGTCAGATTCAAGTCCTAGAGCTGTGCCAGGACATGGAGGGCTGGGGGCGGACCTGGCTCCACCTCCGCCCTCCCACAGTTCCGCTTGGGAGCCCCTGACCTCAGGAGTCCACCCAACTGAACACAGCCTCTCTGCTTACGTTTGACTGTTTGCAAAGTGATTGATTTTGAATTTGGTAACTGCAGAACTGCATCAGCCTCTGTGTAGTACATAATAATCATTGAGGTTTCAATACCAGATGTAAGGAAATAAGATACAGCACAGGTGGTTCTGCCCCGGTGGACTGGGAGATGGATCTAACCAGCCCCCAGGTCTAAGGTCCTGCACTGGCATTTCCCACCGTGCTTGGGGGTGATTTCCAAGAGCAAGTTCAGCTGTGTGCTCCTCCGCTCAGAGAGCCCAATCTCCTTTGATCACCCCAAACTGGGTAACTTTCAGCAGGAGCAGCTCCCCACCCCCTGCTTTTGGGCCACACAACTGGTTGTGCTAGGGGCTTACTCCAGACTTTGTGCTCAAGGGACTGTATGTGGTGCTGGGGACTGAACTGGGTGCAGAGCAACTGTCCTCCCTACTGCACTAGGAACTTCCTTTTGAACTTTTTTCCTAATAACTCACCTTTATTCAAAAGGAATTTGAGATGAGGTCTGAAACAAATGTGTTCTGAGGCCTGTTGTCTCCAAATTCAGAGCAGAGGGGGAGGCTTTTTAAACAGCTGGGAGCACCACCACCCAAGGGGCAGCTGCAGCCAAGGTAGCCACTAAATCCTCGGGGACATCAAGGTCAAGTGAGCCGGGCCACCAGACTGGGGTGTGGCCTGGCAACGGCTTTGCTCTGGCAGGTCAGGTCCAACGTCACTGCCTGTCACCAGAGTAATGCCTATTCTTCCCATGAGGTGGGTGCAGACCCATGATGGCCACCTGAGGTTAGGGAAAGTGACCAGGGAGAACGACCAGGGAGAATATACCTGTCCCTGCTCACTGGCTTTTCTGAACCCAAAGGAAACAACAGGCACAGAGACCATCAGCTTTCCTGAGTGCCAGCATTGACTATTTCAGGCAGGAAGGTTACCTCATCCCTGGTGCAGTCTGCAGGCTACAGCACGGGCTTTGGCGGAGGCTGGATGTATTCTGTTTCTGAAAGCAGGCTGTGGGATGGAGGATGAACAGCCAATCTGCCGAGTGGGGGAGGAATGATGGCAGTTAAAGCCATAGAGTACGCCTGGGAATAGCCACGTAATTTTAAAAAAATGTTCAAGGTCAGGCCAAAACTACTGGTATTTTCGCCACGGCCTTCCCAGATCTTGGCCAGTCACAACCCACAAGCCTGCTGTCAGTGAGCCCAAAGCAGCAACTGAGTCCTGATGATACCAAATGCACAGCTGAGACAGCTGCCAGCCAAATCCTGTAGCTGCTATGGGGGCGTCCCTAACCAAGACCGCTCCCTCGGGACCAGCTGTGACAAGAGGAAAAGATTGTCAGACATCCTCCCCCCACCTCCCTTTCGGGTTTCTCATGCTTTAATGGAAAATTTTGATAGTGCCCAGGGCTGTCAGAACCTGTCTCCCATCAGGGGGATAAAGACATCCACACAGGATAGGTGTTCCAAAGCTGATGCCTTTCAAGCAGTGATCAATGTGCCCACAGACTGGGGTCATTTTTCTGTTCCTTTTTGTTCTGACAAACCATTAATTTGCCATTGGCGTACAGTACTATGAATGTTCCCAGAGCAGAGCATCACGCTTCAGTATCTTCTAGGCCGTAGGATGTGACCAATGTTGAACTATCCTTCCACACAGTCGACTTAGTCGGACACAATGATGGCCTGAAAAGGAAATCTGAACCGGTCCATTTTACCTCATCCTGTCCTGTCCATGTTTTTTTGTCTCAGACCCTGGGCAGGGAACAAGGCCAAACTGCGTCAGACACAGGGGCACTCTTTGACCTTCAGATTCCTCTGCTCCCATCTTTTCTTTCCTGTAAGGTGAGGCACAGGTGGCTCACAGATGGCTGACAGTGGGTCAGGTAAGCAGCCACTGAGAAAAAGCTAAGGTGGGGGAGGAGGTTCCTTTCTGTGGATAAGAGTGCCAGAGCTCCTAGGACCCTGGTCCCCCTGTCAGGAGAGCAGAAAAACAGGAGGAGCTGCTTAACTGCAGGAATGAATGGGAGGCTGGTTTCCCCAGCTTGTCACTAGGGGGCTCTGAAGCACAGTCTCTTTTCTCCTAAGGAAAAGTTTTGGTTAACACCAAGGAAGATCAGGGAGAATGCCCTTGGGTTCCACCTGCTGAAATCCTCTCCCATCACCCAGACAGCTCTGGGAACTGCATCCTACCACAGAATGCAAAAGTAGTCATCAGCGATTTCTAAGACCCCATGAACTGCATGCCAAGAGCAGAGTGGACTAGGATGTTTTTCCTCAGAGCTGGTCCCACCTGAAAACCACATCTGAACAGACTGCATGGGGAACACCTACTAGGAGGGGGAGCTGCTTATCCTGAGCCACTGTAGACGCAGAGCCAGAAAACAATGCTAGCTACCACGTACTAGGCATTTACCACATGCCAAGGACAAAGTCCTTGATGCTACCTCTCTCCTTTAAGCCTTAATTAGGAATCCTAAGAACACCTATTCAGGAAGGTACATATATTGAGAGTTGTGGCCTAGTGGAAGGCACAAATAATGGGCATGCACCCTTAAGCCAGGGACTCAGTGCTGAAAAAGCTCTTTTAAATACCTCAGTTGGGGGCTGGAGCAATAGCACAGCGGGTAGGGCGTTTGCCTTGCACGCGGCTGACGTGGGTTCAATTCCCAGCATCCCATGATCCCCGAGCACTGCCAGGGGTAATGCAGAGCCAGGACTAACCCCTGTGCATCGCCGAGTGTGACCCAAAAAGGGAAAAAAAAAACCCAGTTCGGTCAAGTCTGCAAAAGGGCTCCAATAGCTTGAAAGCAAACCTCAGTGCTGTCACCAATGAATCCACAAGCCCCAGAGCCCCAGCGTAGCACAGGAAGGGGTCTCAGTGAGTGCCTGACAAGGGCAGAAATGTTCAGCAAAGACACTTCACATTCAGTGGCCTATTCTCAGGGTGTGGCAGCTCTGCCCATTCCAGGACAGCCTCCTCTGCTCAACAGCAGCACTGGTTCCTTGGCAGATGTGGCAAAAGCACTTAAGTTACTGCTCTCCTCTCCCCCACCTCCACCCCGCACCATCAAGCCCTAATCACTTCTCCAAAACCCAGAGCTTAGACTGATGGCTGGAAAGGTTTTTGGTTTAACACTCTCCACACCAGCTTTCTGGAGGCCTAAATCCTCCCAGCCCCACCAAACATTACATCGACACAGGACTGAAAATGTACTCAGGGACTTCTGAATGATAAATTAATGAAGCTTGGACAAGTTCTAAGAATATCCTAGATCAGAGGTTCCTAAACTCATCTGGCCCTACCACACCCTTTACAAAAACAAAAACCCAACTCAGGATTGCCCCCTGGAAATCTACCTTCTTGAAGCAAACAGAAAGCATACCTCAATTGCACCAGAGGTTACCACTGATCACCAGATCGGACAGTTATAGCCCACTCTGGTAAAATCGTCCTATATGCTACCACATCCAACAAGGAAATGGTGCTGTGCAAACAAGTACCTCCAAATGTGGTGAAGTTGCCAAGAACTTAAGTGAGAAAAAATAACTCCCGAATCCAACTCAAAAACATTTGAAATTCTTAAATAATTCACAAAAACTTTCACTATTAACTCATAAAGACAGTGAAAACACTTGCAAAACTCAGGTCCCATTTAAGATGCATTTTTATTGGTTAAAAAAAAATTGTAACCAGACAGAAAGAATAAAGTAGACAAGAATGTTATAATCTGACTATATATAGTATTCTCTCATTCTTGGTGGATCACTAAAATATAACAAAGGATTATTCTCTATGCTAATTTAAAGGTTGTCCAGTTAAACCATTATTTGGTATCCTTTCAATAGGTTAACCTCTTAACTATTTAGAGTTTCTTCTCAGAAACATTCATATATTATACAGGAAACATTCATAGTTTATTTGGGAAACATTCATATTTTATACAGGATGTACAAGACAATAAAAAAAGGGGGGGGACACATCTGTAGCCGCAACACTATCCTAGCTGCATTGTGGTGATTATGTTGTTCAGTCAGCTGTCCATTATATACAACTTGGATTTAATAGTGTTATTTACAGAGGGGCCAAAAGCACTCATCTATGGTAAAGGCGCTCGGGGTTTAATGTGCACTTTCATAGCCCTATGAAACACAACCATTATATACACTGTAAACACCACAGGGCATAAACTCCATTTCCAACCACAAACATCAATCTCACAGGATCAAGCATACAAGGTTTAAAGTAAGGTGCCTGACTTTTCCTTTGTAAGAATACTTTTCTTCTAAGAGTGCTGCTATTTTTCTTCACACACACTCTTCACTTATATCAAATATGGTGCCAGTGCTCAAAACATTTCTGGAGCCCCATTTGGGGGATTGCCTGCATGGTCTGCCATAAATCCGTCGTGTCTGTGATGGTGCAACTGTGTCTTTGTCCATTGAGGATGAAGTCAGCTTGGGAAAACAGGCAGAGATATTCACAGCCATGTAAGTCAAACTGGAATACCACCCTGGATCAAATGTGAGGTTTCACTGTACAACAAGAACAATTTTCTTGTACAGCTTGTAAATCAGGAGTTGAAAAAAATGTCTAAGCAATGAATGGCAGGCGTGATGGAATACGCATACAGTCTCCTAAAGTGAGGACTCGGGAGAGGCAACACTCACTTGCACAACAGAGTGAGGTGGGGGTTGAGAGTTTTAAATTTAGTTCTTTTGTCACCTCTCAGACTAGTATTCCTCTTCCGTCTCAGTCCCCTTTGCTTTCTTATGGATTGCCCGATTAAAGCTATGGCAAGCAGGAACCCAGTGATTGTCATGCAGTCCCAGCTTACAGCCAGGGAAACCCTTCTGAGACCGGTGGCAGCACATCCAATACCCTGGCCCATAGGGCAATGCCTGGCAATAGGGCTTGGGATGCCATCGGCACAAGGACACGTCCCCTTTCACGTATTTTTTCTTGCACTGCTTGCATGGATCCTCTCTATAGCGTGGATCTCGAACCCATCGAGAATCTGCTGGCCTGATATTGTAATATTCAATGATAAACTTGAAATAGCAGCAGGTACATTTAAGAGCCACTAAACTCTTGGTAGGAAGTAACCTGAAGATTTTCACCATGATGTGATGGGGCAGAAAAGCCATGTACTGTTGCGGCTCCAACAGCTGCTGGATTTTAAACCTGGTCTCCAGAAAGTCATGAGACACTTGCTTCTTCCAACTGGAGGCCTCGAGCACTGGGGATGTGCTTTCCACAGGAGAGGCTGAGGCACTTCTTTCCTCAGAAGTGTTGTCATCCTCAGCTACACCTTCAAGCCTACTGGCCTCGGAAGACTCTTCTGCTGTGCTTTCACTCAACTGGGAACAGTCCGACTGATGACCAGGTGGCAAGAAAAACAACATCCCTGGAAGTGGGTCTTCACCGGGTTTTAAACTGGAAGCCTGGTTTTTCTCCACCTTGGACACAGTGATGCTAATGCACAAAGATTCTTTTCTTCGCTGATCAGGATTCTGGCTGGTGAGTGGCACACACTCTCTGCTCATGCCATCAACAGCGTCCACGGGCAATTCAATGGCCTGGGGACAGGTTCGAGAAGGAAAAGGTGTGCCAACAAGTGCCTCAATCATTTCCACGGCATATCTATTGCCGGTTTTCATGGCAGCTGGCTGCTCTGGCTCAAAGACCACACTGTCTGTGTGGAAACTCACAGCTGCGGGCACGGCGGGACAGCCCGGTGGAGGGCCATCCCAGACCTGGTCTCCTTCAGGAGAACAATGGTCAGCTCTTGAGGGGTCGCAGTCTACAGACACAGACCCCACAGCATTCACCTGAGAGTCAGGAGCCTCCAAGGCACCCTTGTTTGTGTTGCCTTCATCAGCCTGAGTGCCGTTTGCAAGCAGCACCCGGCCAACATTCCGACGAAAGCTATTATTCCTTGAGAGATTCCCAGGCTCACGCTGGCTCTGCCGTTTGAGGCACTCAGACTCCAGCCGGGCCACCATGTCAAGGACACGGACTGGCTCACTTGGTGGTTCACCCACCTCAAGATTTCCCCTTTCTGTGGGTTCTTCACAAGCTCCTGAGGCAGAGAAAGGTTCAGAAGCAAGGGGCACACTTCTGGATTGCCCAGAAAACCTTACCACAGCAGGTGAGTTGGTGCAGTTTTTCGTACAACTGGCCAGCAGAGCACTGGCTCTTTGCTCCAAGAAGGCAACCATCTGTATGACGGACAAAGGCCTTCCAGCATAGACGCCATCCCCACTGTCACTCACATAGTGCACAGAACAGTGCTCAATGCCACACGCAAAAGGCTCAGGAGGATAGCACCGGCTACTGACTTCCCTCATCCTTTCAAACTGTGTTTTGACTTTCTTAGGATCCCCTGATTTTTTCCTTCTTTTAGTAGCTCTCCCATCAATATCCCAGGAGCTTTTTATTTTCATAGATCCTATTCTATTACTACACTGGTGGGCCGCAAAGAACGCAATTTTCTCCTTGGTATTTCCTGGTTTCACAACAGCCCAGATATCAAGAGGCCCTTCCCCTTCTTCACCCTGGTGGATTGTTGTCGATGGTACATTCTTCTTGGTTTTGACATTCAAGCTGCTCTCTACAGGGCTCTTCCCACTCATACTGCACAGAACATTTGGAGAGAGGATCCCAAAAGGCTTTCGAGATGATGTTTTACCAAGAGTGGAGTTTGAAGAAAACACGCTGGGCTTCATGTAGCCAGCTTTGCACTTTTCATCATGGAGACCCTTGGGGTAGTTTGCAAGACTTCTGGAAGTTTCCTTGCTGATTTCTAGAGGTCGCACTTTCTTCTGGAGTTTCCAATATTGCTTTAGGTGCATAACAGAGGCTCTATAGAAAAGAAATAGATATTTGATTAAGAAAAAGATTTTATTTTCAGGAACTTTCTAAAAAAACAAGCTTCATTACCTGTTTTAGCAGGTAATGAAACGTTTTCTATCAGCTTTCCAATAGAATATCTTCATTACCTCTCACTTCAGCTACTTTTTAATGTATAAAACATTAAATGTAGGGAGCCAGAGAGATAGTACAGTGTGTTAGGCGCTTGCCTTGCATGTGGTGGACCCAGGTTCAATTCCTGGCATCCCAATGGTCCTCTGAGACCCACTAGGGGTGATTCCTGAGTGCAGAGCCAGGAGTAACCCCTTAACATCTCAGGGTGTGGCCTCGTTCTTCCCCTCAAAAAAGAAAAAACCCAAAAAATACCAATAAGTGTATATACAAAAGCAAAACCACTTTCCAAGACCTATGTCAGATCATTGGTTTCAACTGAAGTATAATCAGAAAATGACATTAGTTAACATTCTATACATACTTAATCCTCTACATGTGAAGATGTTTGAAATTAACTTAAAACATTGAAGTACAAGGTATGGTACAGAAGAAAGCAAAAGAGGAACTTCTCAAATACTACTTTTTATTGTTGTTTTGGGTTTTTTTTGGCTTCTCAAGTGGGGTACTAGGGGCCACTACTGTTCTATTGCTTGACTCCTTAACCGTATTTCTTCCCATGGCATCACATCGGCATTTTACTAGTTAGAAAACAATTGTAAAATTGGAATTGTTCTTCAAGACGGTGTTCTCCCTTGAACATATCTCACTTGCTTGTCCCTCTCTCTGATTTCTTCACTCTAGAGAAACCCATGTTTTTCGCTTGAACATGTACTTCCTCTTTCTTTTCCCTAATATCTAAGTAAATTTAAAAAAAAAATCTTACTTAACAAAATAAAACAAGACAGACCAAAAAACACATTGAATTACTTCTTAGTTTTTTTTGGGGGGGGAGGAGGTGACACTTGGTGATGCTCAGGGATTACTCCCGGCTTTGCACTCAGGAACCACTCCTGACAGTACTCAAGGGACCATATGGGATGCCAGGGATTGAACCTGGATAGGCCATGTGCAAGGCAAATGCCTTACCTGCTATACTATTCCCCAGCCGCTGTACCTTGGTTTATTATTATTATTCCTCTGCCCCTCTCAGAGAGCCCGGCAAACTACAGAGAGTATCTTGCCCGCACAGCAAAGCCTGGCAAGCTCCTGTGACGTATTCGATATGCCAAAAACAGTAACAAGCCTCACAGCGGAGATATTACTGGTGCCCGCTTGAGCAAATGAACAACAGGACAATGACAGTGATTATTTAGATTATGGGCTACACCCAGCAGTGCTCAGGGCTTAATCCTAGCTCTGTGCTCAAGGATCACTCCTGGCTGGGCTTGAGGGGGGACGGGACAAAAGGGGTAATGGGTCAAAACCAGTTGGCTACATGCAAGACAGTCTATTATTTTGCTCTGCACAACCCCCCCTGCTTTTTTTAAATTATAGTTTAGGCAGCATGGTTACAAGTGTTTATGTTTATGGTATTGACCCCCTCCACCACTGTCCTTATGTCACTTCTGGAACTGAACCTGAATAGGCCATGCCATTCCCCATACCATTCTCCCTCCAGAGATCACTGATCAGTGTTGTAACCAAGGCCAAGGGTTTATCTATATTTCACTAATAACATCGTCCAGTATTGATCCTTTTCCCTTATTTCACTTAACATGATACTCATGTTTCATCCATGTTGTAGCAAACCATGATCTCCATCTTTTCTCCCTCCCTCTCTCCTATCCTTCCTTCCTGTATTTGGGCCACTATGCAGTGCACAGGGTTTATTCCTAGCTTTACACTCAGGGATAACTCCTGGTAGTATTTGGAACACCATATGTGGAATCAGAAACTGAATCTGGGTCTTCCATGTGCAAGGTAAGCACCCCTGTAGCTCAAATCCACAATTTAACAGATACAGAAATAGTTTCAGAGATTTTGGCAATTTATGTCCCAGATCTGTAGAGACAGTCCCCCTATTTCACTGTAGCATTTTTAATAGCTTTCTATCATTATACTCTATAATAATTTAATCTTGCATAAAGAGTCACATATATGGATAGATGATGAATAAAAGGGGCACCTCTAACTGCTCTCTCTGTGTCAATGATTTTTCTGGTTTATATCCCTTCAACCCCTTTATAAGTAAAAGAAAGGGAGGCTGTTGGAAAAGTCTAATAAGTTCTTACATAATGATCTTATTACAGTCTGTGAATAAATTATAACTTCACCAATGTGTGCCATCCTGCACTGCACAGTATGTTCTCTTCGCCTTCCTCCCCCACACATTATTTTAAGTGCTATTATTGACAGAGACATTAAACTAATGTGATTACAGAAAGTTTTTGTCTGCATTTATTAATCTATAAAGTCAGCTCAACGGACACATACTACTAGATTGGTTTTATTTATTTTGCTTTTTGGGTCACACCCAGCGATGCACGGGGTTACTCCTGGCTCATGCACTCAGGAATCACTCCTGGCAGTGCTCAGGAGACCATATGGGATGCTGGAAATTGAACCCAGGTCAGCTGCGTGCAAGGCAAGTGCCCTACCCACTGTGCTATTGCTCCAGCCCCTAGATTGATTTTAAATAGGAGTAAAAATAGACAATCCCAGGGAACAGAAGTGAAGGTAGGTACAAGAGATAAGGAGAAAAGCCAATAAAGTCAGTGTACCCAGAGTGACATTTCAAGGGTGACATTTCTTTTCTGGGCTCTCCCTAAGGAAAGCAGAGAGTTAGACAAGGTTTAATCCCCTTTTGGACTAAAGCTTGCCTGGGTATTAATTTCTCCCCATCCCAGGCAGAATTTTTTTTTTAAAGTACGGCAAAACTTCAAGTGATAAAACTGCAGAAAATGGAGTTTTGGTTGAAATCAAAGGGCCAGGGACAGTACAGGGGTTTAGGCACTTGCCTTGCACACAGGTAACCAAGCTCTGATCCCAAGCACGACATATGGTCTCTCAAGCACTGCCAAAAGTGACCCCTGAGCAAACAGCCAAGATTAAGTTCTGAGAATCACCTGGTGTATCCCCTTCCCCAAAAGTCCATAAAATAGAAACTAGATCTCTAACAGCTTATAACAGATGGTAGAACTCCACCTATCCCCCCCACCCTCACCCCCCAGACACTGACAGACACAGTGAAAAGCTCTAGCCATACTTCCATGGTTGCCAGTCTCCTCACAACTCTATGCCTTTTTGGGGGATTGGAGGTGGGGGCAGAGGAAGAAGACAGGGAGGCCATACTTGGTAGTACTTGGGGGTCTAGCAGTGCTGGGGATTGAGCCTTAGGCCCCTATATATGAAGCATGTAATCCAGCCCATTAAAAATTACCTGCCTGCTCCCACAGTTGCTTTAAAAGTCCTCTGCAATGAGAGCAGGGAAAGATGGCCTAGTGGCTCAAAGTGCCAAGCCTTCTAAATTGGAGTTCTGTGCTCATGCTGCCCACAATGGCTGTTCTCTGGAACCTCCAGTGCAGTGTGTGGTCTGGCAGGAACGTGTGTGAGCACCACAGTGCCTCTGGCAAACACGACAGCGAGAGGTGCCCAAGCATGGTCCCCCAAACTATGACTCCCAACTAGCATATGAGCTAGCAACACACTGAAGAAGCTTGAATGATGGATGCCACTCATCACAACAACAGCAAGTAAGGGGTGGGGGGTAGGGGAGAAGTTCTTGGATGAAGTTCTGTTCTCCAATAATTAAATAAAATAACTCACCTACTCAAAAGTCCCTGTTGTCAGAAAGGCTCTTGTTAAAAAATAAAATAATCAAGATCCATAGGCTCATTGAATCCTAATTTCTGAACTGGGCCCAGAATCCATTTTTCAACTTAACCTTAGATTCCATTTGAAGGTCCCCTGTCAGATCTGACGCAACAGTGCTAGTGGGGTTCTTGATTTGGCAAAGGTGCCAGGCTACCAATAACAGAGGTGAAGTGGAACTGCCTAGCAAAAAATCAAGCAGACAGGCCATACAGAAGCAGAGTCTACCAATGGAGTGAAAACAGAGCCCTTTGCTTTCTTGCTATTTAGCATAATAAAGCTGATGACTATTTTATTGCCAAATTTCCTGGAGTTCCATTCCTCAGTTTTGTGAGCACAGCTTTCCCGGATCTCCTTTTCTCCCTGACCCTTAAATATCACTGTTGCTCACAGTTCATTCTTTCTCTAGATAATTACCACTCTTAAACTACATATCTACTGATCTTTTACAGCTTTTAAATTTGGGGGGTGGGGTGGGGATGGAGGAGCAGTTGAGGCCACACCTGGTGATGTTCTGGAGCTGCTCCTGGCTTGATGCTCTGGGGTTAAGCACTTCTGGTGAAACTCGGGACACCCAGATGCAAAGCAAGTGCTCATCCTACTGAGCAGATTCTCTCTCCAGTTCCCCTGACCTTACTTCTCCCCAACTTCATTATTTAATGGGATGGTAGACAGAATCACCCACATTATCTATCGGTGAAAACCTAGAACTTGGTAGCATCTCAGTCACACCAGAAGGTCAATCTACTTAGACTCCTCACTCCTTACACTGTTCACATCACATCTAATTGCCAAGCCACTAAACATTCCCGACTTTGTATTCTTCCACCTAGGATCTTTTTGCTGCTACACTATTACTTGCCAGAAAGCCTAACTTCTTTTCAAGGAAATGAACCACCTGGTAAACACAGCAGCTTCATTCTTGCTTTGCCCTACCACAATGCATTCTTTGAAAACTTATTCACAGAATCATTACTACAAGACCCAACAGCTGAAAACTAATCATATCATTTCAGATGCAAAACTTAAAAGCACCTAAGATCATTACATAAACATTAACAGCTTCAATTTTAGTTGACATATACTTCCTTGTATCCATTACTGATGCAATTATGAAAAAGACAGTCACTGCCCTTAAGAGAAAAAACTTACAGGATTACTAAAGAATGTGGTTATGTGTTATAAGGAGACTATACGTACTTGAAAATCTATAGTGTAGGGGAAAAATAGAGAAAGGAGTTTATGAGTGAAGGAAAGGAGACCACCAGTCTTGAGGGTGTAGATACAGATGAGATTCCTTGTTTTTCTCTCTCCCCTTCCTCCCTTCCTCCTCCTCTCCCCACCTTCCTCCTTGCCTCCCCCACCCCCTCATTTTTAGGCCACACCCAGCTGTTCTCAGGGCTTACTCTTGGCTCTATGCTTGGATCACTCCTGGTGGGCTGAGGGCCATAAGTGATACCAGGAACCAAATCCAGGTTGGCTACATGCAAGCAAGCCCCCTCCCCTCTGTACAAGCCCCTAAAGATACCTTATTTTCCTTTTGTGGAGCTTAGGGGCTTCCCAAGCTGTGCCCAGGAGGCCGGGGCCCTTCCCAGTGATTCTCAGCAAACCTGACCTAGAGCTGCTTGGGTCCAGTGGGGGCAAGGCACCTAGGTCATCTGCACAGTACTCAGGGGCCTACATATGGCTGCACCTAATATTATTAAATGAACCACGTGATGCCAAGGATCAAACGGGGGTGGGCATGCACCTTAGCCCCTGTACTATCTCTCTGGCCATGAGCCCTTGATTTTCTGAGATATGCCCAAAAGAAAATGACAAAGTACTAAGAGATTAAAAGGTGATGCTTCTAGGTAAGTAAAAGTGAGTAATCTTCAGAGTCCAAGCTAAAGTGCATAAGTAATAGATTAGTAAGAAGAACAAGCAAGATTTTAGCTACCAATTACTAATAGAGGTTGAGGGAGAGGAGTTGTCAAGGATGGGATCTTATGTATGGCGTCAGCAACAGGACAAAGGGTAGTGCCTATGTGACATCATGACAAGGTAGCACTGTAGCACTTTCCTCCTGTTGTTCATCCATTTGCTCGAGTGGGCTCAGTAATGTCTCCATTGTGAGACTTATTACTGTATTTGGCATATCGAATACATCATGGACAGTTTGCCAGGCTTTGCCATGCGGGCAAGATACTCTCAGTAGCTTGCTGGGCTCTCCGAGAGAGGCAGAGGAATCGAACCCAGCTCCGCCTGGCCAGCCACGCGCAAAGCAAACGCCCTCCGCTGTGCTATCACTCCAGCCCCATGACAAGGTAGCTGCACAAATTTGAGGAAGCAGAGATAAGTTAGGTTTCAGAATACAGTTGGCCAGAATGTAGGAAGAAAGGAATTAGACAGCTGTCACAGAAATATCTGAATAGAGATAACAGATTTTCACAATGAACATCTATTACCATGACACTCAGGAAGAAGATCTGTACAGTAAAACGTGGTTGGCTGTAGTCTCTATAGAGTGTGGCGCCTGTGCTCCAGTCGAGTGCAGGGAGGACAGTCAGAACTCATGGGAAGGAGTGAGAGGGAGGTGAGAAAGTGAACCAGAGCAAATTCTTTCAGAAAGGCTGTGAAAATCTTTGGCCTGTTCCTTAAATTCTTTCCAGGAAAATAAGGTGAGATGTAACAATGAATCAATTAAAATGTAATAACCTTCCTCCAATACAGTCCAAAATACTGCTTTCAGGTAATGCCAGTGTTCCTTTGTTCCTTTCAAACTTTTGTTTTGTTGGGGGGTCACACCCAGAAGAGCCCAGGGCTTATTCCTGGCTCTGTGCTCAGGGGTCACTCCAGGCTGTGCTCAGGAACAAATGCTGTGTCCTAGATCAAACTGGAGGGTGAGCTGTGTGTAAGGCAAGTGCCCCCCCGCAACCCTTTGAAACTCATAACTTGGTTTTAGTTCCAAAAAGCTGGAACCCAAGCTTAAGGATAATGTCCAAATGCAAAATGATGCGGAGAAAGAATTTAATTTGGCTTAGAATAAAAGTGTTTGGATCCTGGTTAAATATCATGTCTAAAATGTCAAGCTGGCTCTTTGTAGGAGTGAACTTGATCAATGAAGAATCAAACGGAGGCCCAAAGGAATACTGCAGTAGCTTCAAGAGCCCGGCTTAGTTCAAAGCACTGTGGTGTTTCCACAAGCACCATGCGATTCCTGGAAGCTGGAGCCTGCCTGCCATCTCCCAGCACGGCAAGTGCCTTCTGGCTGCATGGCAGCCTGAAGTCTGTAAACAACACAAATTGCCACATCCAGGAAGGGATCACCTCCAGTCAGCACACATAAGCACTACAGTGATCCCCCAATTAGTACTGCCTTATCTTTTGCCTCATCTAAGAGTGCTCAGGGTAAGCATGCTGCAAGGACTGCAGCTGAAAGGATTTGCAAACCTCAGTAAGCACCACAACCAAGTGTGCAACACTACAAGCTGCTGTGATGTGTGGCCCCAGGTGAACACCACAGCCAGACAAGTTTGTGGCTATGTCATCACAACAAAGAAGGGGCAGCGGGAAGAGAGGGAAATCAAGCACACTTTAAAAAAAAAAATCTAAAGATTCAAATGGAAATATACAGTTAAAATAGTAGAAATATGAGATATTGCTTATTACTAAGAAGCCTGGCTTTTCTAAGTTGTCAATCAAGCCCATCAAAACAAGTTAGAGGAAAAAGTATTTCCCATTTTGTTTTGTTTTAGGATGTAGGAATACTAATAAGAAATAAAAATAACAAAGGCACAAGAATACTAATTCCAAAAAGAGGGCATTTTTATTAATGCAGTAAGATGGGTTCTTTCTTTACAAAAAATCAAAGGGAAAAAGAAAGAACAATCCCTGAAAGACCCCTCCCATTCCAGCTCCAAAGGTCAAAAAAGGTTGTATTAGTAAAAGAATTCACCATTTAAAATTCCCAAGACTATCACACTCAACTCCAGCACAAGGGAGTATATGCATGTGTGCTTGTGTGTGTGTGTGTGTGTGTGTGTGTGTGTGCATGTGATGTCAAGTGTGTGCATGTGCATACACTCTTCTTTTTGCAATTGAGGTAGATACCAGAGTAAAGTTATTTACCAGGTAAATAACTTTCAAAATGTGGGAAAATTATATGAACTTCTGGATCACTACACACTAAAAAATTATTTTTTCAAAAGTTAAAACTACACTTTAAAGAAAATGGCTTATAGTTAACAGGTCAATGAAAAAAAATTACTACTTTGAATCTTAGTTTTAGATCTTATTAAGTTAACTTAAATACGGACCTAAAATTATTAATTCCAATGAGTAAATGTGAGAAATCCATACTACAAAACAAAACAAAAAACAATTATCAGTCACTAAAGAATTCCAACTGTAATGCTATCTGTTAAATGCATACTGGGGTTTTTGTTTCATAAACTAGAAAACTTGTCTCACCTCTCAGATAAAACTATTGCTTGACGAGTCAGAAAGATAATACAGGAGGCAATGTACTTCCTTGAAGCTAGTCCCAATACGATGGCACCACATATGGTTGCAAGTACCACCAAGGGTCACTCCTAAGCCTACAGTCAGTAACAGGCTCTAAGCAATTACCTGGTGTGCCTCCAAAGTCCCCCCTCCAAAAGCCTCCCAAACCAAATAAACTATTCTTAGATTACACAGAGGGTCCATCCATCTATGAGCCCCACAGCAAACCACTCTGTATAATCTGAGTAAATCTGGAATTCCTAAAGTTTAATATGAAAGGTGATGGTTTGTAAAAAGATATATAGAACTTTCCGTTTCAGGATAAATTCAGGGCCTGCTCATTAGGCCTCTGCACATATATGTAATCTGAAAAGTTATCAGAAAGTTAAAAGATCCATTTACTAGACCTATCTTCTGTAAAATTCTGGTCTATATACGACTCAGCTGTAATCATATTGTACACATAATGGAGCACTTTTCATTCAAAGTAAACATTTTCTATTTTATTTTGATGGTTCTCAAAACCCATCAATTGCAAATGTGAGACTTTCAGAGTTTAAAACATTCCCTCCAGTTATAATGTAAAACTTTATTAATATAACATCATGCATTTAAAGTATGCCCACTAAGGTTTTGTGTGTATGTTTATTTTGTTTTGGGGGTCACACCCAGAGATGCTCAGAGTTTACTGTTGGCTCTGCGCTCAGGAATCACCCCTGGCAGGCTCAAAGGAACATATGGGATGCCAGGAATCAAACCCAGCTTGGGTACATGCAAGGCAAGCATACTACCCCGTCTACTATTGCTCCAGCCCCAAGAATATGTTCTTAGAAGACTCCCAGAAGTAAAATTCCTGAGGTAAACTATAGTATTTTTATGATAATATACAGCTTGCCCAATTATACCCTGGGAGAGTGCTAATTTACACACGACTAAAACCAAGAAAATCATTTCAATTTTCTAGTTAAATTTACTTTTATGCTTAGGAAAAAAAAAACAATGTAGATCTTAACATCAAAGATACAAGTGTTAGGTGAGCAACCTGTTTTTACACTGGAATACAGTTCAACAGTTCTGCAATGCACACTGTGTGTAAAATCCTGTTCTCAGTACACATGCGCACACACACACACACACACACACACACACACACACACACACACATCCCTGGCTCTCCAGAAGAGACTAAGTAGTAGCTGCCTTGCACAGCTGACTAGTTCAATTCTCAGCACAAAATATGGTCCCCAAACCCTGCCAGAGGTGATTACTGGACACAGAGTCAAGCATAAAGCCTTGAGCACAGCTGGGTATAGCCCACGCCCCCTCCCCCAAGAAAAGGGAAAGAAGTGCATTTTCTCCTATTGCAGATGAAGACCAACAAAGCAGAGGCAGTTAAAACCTTGCCAAAAGTCCAGGGATGACTCAGTGGTACAGCTCCTGCCTTGTTGGTTATATGAATTCAATCACTGGCACCCCCAAATCATTGCAGCAACAGCAACAGGGGAAAGAGGGGTATATGCACAAAGAGCAAAAGATCAAAAGATCATGCTCTTACCTACCCCACTATGCAGTAAGGAAAGGAGAAGATGGGAAACAGATGGGTTACTCCTTAAGTAAGCTTCTTCTACATGTCATAAGTGGAGACTGGAAAGTCTGTGAAAGGAAGCAGAATCCTAGTTATGGGCTCAATTTTGGATGCTCAGGACTCACATTGTACTCTGGCTCTGAGCTCAGGAATCAGGGGTCACTCCTGTCCTAACATAAATATCTTTAAAGGATCATTCAGAAGGTATTCAAAGATACCAAGTGAGCCACAGACCACTTTTGATAATACTCAAGTGGAAAGCACAAAGTTGTAAGAGGAGCTACTGTAAAGTAGAAAACTGAGCAAAAGCAGATAATCCTCTAAACTTTTTTATAATTTTGACAAAAACCTGATCAATTCTAAAATCAAGTTCTTCAATCATACAAAAGCTAATTATTTAGACCTTATTGCTTACCGATTTTTGGGAGCAATCAAAAGCCTAGAAATTACTTTTTAAAATGGCTTACATATAATAGGGGCCAGAGTGAAGTTCAATGAGCAGGGCATTTGTCTTGCATGTCTTGCATGCAGCCAAACCAGGTTCGATCCTGGCATCTGATATCCCCAAATGCTGGCAGGAGTGATCCCTGAGTGCAGAGCCAGGAATAACCCCCAAGCACAGATATGCAACACACCCTCCCCCTCAAATGGCTTACATACATAGGTTAGTGCTTTAAAACAGCAACTTACAATATAATACAGAGAGTAAAATACATAAGCTACCGAGAGTATCTCGCCTGCACGGCAAAGCCTGGCAAGCTCCCTGTGACATCTTCGATATGCCAAATACAGTAACAACAAGTCTCACAATTTGTTACTGGTGCCACTTGAGTAAATCGATGAGGACAGTGCTACAGTGAAACACACGCAGGTATATATTTATCCTGAATTATTATTTCTTACTGGAAAATAAACACTAGTAAACACTATAAAACCCAGCTCCAACCCCATACTGTAATTTTTCATGTAACAAAAATTTCCTCTATTTTCTGATTTTTATTAAAAAGGATAAATTGATTTGAAAACCACCGGATGATGAATGAGCCTAGAAACATTCATTATGCATTATGCACTTAACCCTGCAGAGATGCATTCTATTGGTTTATAACTAGGAAACTGACTTTCAGTGACTCGGTAAGTAGAGCAGCCCTGCAGGGCTTCAATAAGTCCCTCCCTACTAAGGCTCAGACTGTCAGATGCATTATTATGCCTTCCTGGTTCAGACATGGGGCATCAAGTTCTTCCTGCCTTAACCCAATACTATTACTGGAAATTGAACAGGAAATTAATCAGCAAGCAACAAAAAAGATTAAAAAGGGTGACAGGGGGAGGGAGGTAGGAGGGCCGAGGAGGGGAGGATAAACACCTAGGCAATCAAGTGAAGGGAAGAACTGAAAGACAAAAAAGACAACAGTGATCAAGACCAAAACATGCATAGTTCTTATTATAATTAAACTATGCAATGACCTCAGCAAGAGAAAGTACAAGCAAAATAGTGTACAAGCAATACAGAAACCACCATGCACACAAAAGGGGAAGAACAAAATGTACAATAACAAACTGGCTTTCAATCTCTCACTCAATAACCAATTGAAGAACACAATTAATGCCTGAATTTACCTTACACAAATCCATGTAACTATTTTTTTAATTGAATCACCATGAATTACAAAAGTTACAAAGATATTTATGGTTGAATTTCAGACTTATATTGTTCCAACACCAATCCCTTAAGCAGTGCGCACACCCTCCACCAACGTTCCCAGTTTCCCTCCCACCCTGCAGCCTGTCTCTGTGACAGAAATCTTCTCTATAATCCCAGCAATCCCTTTTCTAACTTATCCCCCATATATAACTTATGCAAGTTTAAATATAAATATAGAAATTATTATTTAACGGTATCTCAAACCTTTTATTTTTTGTGTTTGTGCCACACCCAGTGATGCTCAGGGGTTACTCCTGACTTTTCACTCAGAAATTATTCCTCGTGAGAGCTCAGGGGACCACATGGAGTTCATAGGACCAAACTCAGGTTGGCCACAAGTAAGGCAAGCACCCTACCTACCTGCTGAACTATCTTTCTGGCCCATTATCACAAACTTTTTTTTTAGTTTTTTTTTTTATTAAAAAATTTGTAATAGTGAGACATCATGCAGTACAGTTGCAGACTTACACATTTTTGTGTTTGGGTTTCAATTATACAATGATCAAATACCCATCCCTCCACCAGTGCCCATTTCCCACCACCACGGGTCCCAGTATCCCTCCCACCACCCCATCGCCCCCATTCCACCCTGCCTCTGTGGCAGGGCATTCCCTTTTGTTCTCTCTCTCTTATTGGGTATTGTGGTTTGCAAAAGAGGCAATGGGTGACAATCATGTTTAGTCTATAGTCTACTTTCAGCATGCTTCTCCCATCCTGGGAGGATCCTCCCAACGTCTTTATTTGGTGTTCCCTTCTTTATCTGAGCTCCCTTTTCCCCTAGTATGTGGCATTATCACAAACATTTTAAATGATTAAACTCTTACTGATCTGGATGGAAGGACGCTGGGAATCCGAACCCAGATCAGCCACATGCAAGACAAATGCCCTACCCACTGTGCTATTGCTCCAGACCCTGGTTTTCCAATCTTGAAAGAGAAAAACAAGTTACAAACCAAAGTAAGTTCAAGTTAATTTTAAAAGAAATGTTTTCCTTTGCCCAGAAATGGTCAAAGATATGATGATAACTAAACATACACAGATCCAAGCAAAACAAAAGTCAACAGGGAAGGTTTATATATCATGAACGTTTGGGGGTGGGAGGTGGGAATGGAGGAAGGGCCAGGTTACACAGGGCAGTGCTCAGGGGCTATTCCTGGCCCTATGCTCAAAGGACCATATGTGGAAGGAAACTCAACCACGGTTGGTGCTGCTGCAGCTGAGGACCTGTAGATGACTTAGCTCCTGTACTACCTCTCTGAGCCTTTCATGAACCTTTAAGGCTACAGTCCCTGCCTGGTTACTTTGTAGATCACCCATAGGATCAAGCACAGAACAGAAAAAGATTCATGAAAAGTAAACCTTATTTCAGGGGCTAGAGGGACAGTACATGAAGGTAAGGTTGCATTGCCAACCTCTGCCAATCTCTGGCACTGTTTGTGGTCCCTTAAGTACCAGGAGGAATAAGCCCTGAGCACAATGAGGAGTTCACTCTGAGCACAGTCAGATGAATGAAGAGGGGGGAGGGCAATGGAGGATGGGAGGGGAGGAAGCAACTGCTGGGAGCAACCCCCTGAGCACATATTGTGTGCCCTTAGTCCTGAGTACTGCCAGGTGTGTGCCCCTCACCCACACACACAAAAATCAATTTCAGAAATAATGTGAAGGACCACCTTGAAAGCACACTTACAATTCATTCACAAATCCACTAACGAATAGATCTGCTTAGGAAACCTTGTTTGATAAAGCAACGTGACCCCCCTCTGGATCACCACAAGGTTTAGCTCCCCAAATCCCCCCACAACTCCCTAAAAGGACATGGTCTGCATTATAATTTTCTTATTTCTCTACAAAGTATCAACATCCTCTCAATATTATATATACACTCACATATAGTATATAATACACATCAGACATAGTTTGTAACTTTGGGGGTGGGGAAAACTGGACCACACCAAGGTGTGCTCAGGGTTTAATCCAGGATCTGCACTCAGGGACTGTTCCTGGCAGGGCTTGAGATAGCTTATGAGGTGCAGGGGATCGAACCCAGATTGCGTTCGTGCAAGGCAAATAAATTCTCTACTATTGCTCTGGTCCTGTAATCTGTAACTTTTGAAGATCTTTTCTGGACTGTCTTCAGAATCTAAAGAAAGATTGGTATTCTTTGCCCTGAAAAAATGCAATAACATACTTAAAAAGAAAAAGCCACAGTGGTTTAGTTATTTACAATGTGTTTTTATGATTACAATGTTCCTACCTCCAATCCCACCACTCATGTCCCCCTCTGTTCCCAGATTCCTCTTCACCCCTCAACCTTACTCCCTGACAGATACATTTTTAAGTTTATTATAGTTTAACAAACTACAACAGACTTATGGTAGTGTTGGGTCTAGTAGCTAAGATACATAGATATTTTAACACTTGTGAACAGAATTTTGAGGAAACCTCAGGGTTTCTGATTAAAAGCTCCTTACCTTGGTTCCTGCTTTTAATGTTTCCTCTGACCTTCACTCTTTAACATCTTTATCCACTGCAACTGCTAAAACCACTTAGTCAATGAGGCCCTTCCCTGTCCAAGTCTCATCTACTGCTCCACCCACCCATATTACAAAATGGCTACTACAGAATTTCCAGAACTGTGCCCCTTAGAACACTTATCTTCATCTCTCCTATATACTGTAAACTCTTAAAAGATAGGAGTAATCATTTTTTATTTAGCTCAGAGTGTGCAGTCTTGCATGTTATCAGAGTGCAATGTTAAATCTAAGTACTTTAAAATAAACCAGTCAACTGGCAAGATCTCTAAGTGGACCGTTATGAGTATCTGACTAATCAATACTTGGACAGCCCAGTACGGTGCAACTGAGCCACCATCCATTGTTTCCTGATTTAGTCCTCCCTCTCACAGAATTGGGGGTGAAGGAAATGAAGAGTATGCTCTCCAGGACAGTCACTTTTAATACTGATTACTCTTCTGCAACACAAAATAAAATTTGTCTTGAGCAGCAGCTCTTTCCCAGCACTCCAGTTACCTAACATTCATAAGCACTATCAGATTTTTAAAAATCCATATTGACCAGCCATGAGTTAGCAAACACTTCCACAATAAGTTACCTTAATACTGTTAGTTGAACTAAAGTCATAAGAATTTTCATATTGCAATGACTCAGAAAGAAAGGGATAGACATAGAAAGATTGCATTCATCTGGGGAACATAAAGTAACAAAATAGAAGACTAACACTCAAGAATGGCCGAGATTAGTACCAGGAATTTTACTCCATGGCTTGGAGTAAATTGTCACCCACTGCCTCTTTTGCAAACCACAACACCCAATAAGAGAGAACAAAAGGGAATGCCCTGCCACA